GCAGATCCAGGGCCAAGGGTCAGAAAGAGGCTCCACCGTGTCCCCATCTTGTCCAGATGTGCTGGAGAAGGAAACCCATTTCCTGTCACTTCCCATGAACAAACTGAGAAGGCCTGACCCTGCAGAGGGGGTGCTCCAAACCCTGCCCCAACAAGCCATGGAGCAACCCAAGACCCCACTGGGCTCCCATTCTTCCTCCCCAGGATGGCCACATCCTAAATCAGCCTCCTCCCTGGCTAGACATTTCCAGTGTGGGTGTTACAGGGCACTGGGGCTGGGATCACCCCCTAAGGAATAGACAGTGCTGTACAATCAGTGTTGAATTCATCCCTCTCATGTGGCCTAAGCAGCTGCCCCAGGACTGCTCAGGGGCCCTGCTGGGATCAGTGGTATTTAATGTCTTCACCAATGCCACAGGAAGGATCCCTCAGCATGTTTGCAGCTGCCAGGGCACCCTCAAGTTTACAGCTTTTCCTGCCCAAATCTCCTCAGCCAGGAAAGAAGAGCCCCAGGTTGCCCAGATGTGGAGATGGTTTCCTTGTCAAACAGCTCCTTGTGGTGTAACAGGATCTTCTCCATGGATCAAGATGCCTCCCAAGGCTGCTGACAGAGCAGCACACACAGCATCCATCACCTTTCACTGAACTGGTGCTGCCCTGCTGCATCCTTGGGCACCAGGAGCCCCACCAGGCAGCAGGGTTTGGTTTTATCCCACACTGTGGCCCCCAGGCTGTGTTCTGTGAGGAACCCCACAGGGGGGATGTGGAATCTGGTAACAGTAGATGCCAATGGCAGCGATGCCAGTGATGCCAATGGCAGCTCTTAAACAAGGCTCACGGGGGCTCAAGTGTCTCCAGGCTCTGAAGGAGCTGAATTGCAGAGCCTCCCACACGGAAAAACCCTCTCAGGAAGACCCAGGGAGCTCCACAGTCCTCCAGCACCACTCCCTGGAGAAGGAGGGACAGGACGGGCTGTGCAGCCAGGGAGGAGCTGCTCCAAAGGCTGCGCTCCCTGCTGAGCCCTGCGAGATCCAGAGGCACCCGGATCCCCTCCTGCAGCACCTGCATCCAGGAGATGGGAGCAAAACACAGCTGCCTTTGCTCCAAACGCTGCCCAACGGCAATCCAGACCCATCTCGCTCTGCCAGGAGTTTGGGCCGCTGAGCCACAGAGGAGTTACCCTTCCCAAAGGGAAAAGGACCCAAATTCACCCTCAGGGGCTGCTTGGGGACTGACACCAACACAGCCAGGCCCTGCCAGGGGAGGACTCCACACTTCGGGATGCACCGAAGCTCTCTGGGACAAAAAGGCTCCCCGAAGACACGAGCACAACTCCTGCCTCCACTCCTGCTCCCAGCAGGACCAGAGCAGCATCCAAACTCCTTGTGGAGGCAGCAGCAGCTCCTTCCTGAGGGGCTCCACCAAGAGCTGAGTCCCACAGCCCTGAGCAGCTCTGTCCTGGAGGGAAGGCACTGGGACACACAACTGGACAGGGCAACCAGAGGGACATGGACATTCCCAGCACACAGAGACCAGGAACCTGCAGCGGGTGAGGAGGCACAGCCTTGGTCACTGTGCTGGATGGAGAAAAACATTTTCTAAGCAGGGCCTATGAAGGGAAAATCGACAAGGAAAGATCCAGTGCATTCCTGAGTGAGATTTTAGCACTCAGAAAACAGCCTGAAAAAGCCTGCTGATTCATGGGCAGACTTGTTCTTGCTCTCCAAGTCACCAAAGGTGAGATGGAGTCCAAACAAAAGAATTCAGGGGTGTGGGGGGAGAGGATGGTGGAGGAGGATTGGTGCAAATCATCCAAATACCCCAAGCAACCTCCTGCCCAGGAGGCTCCTGTGTGAGGAGCTACTTCCTGCCCCAGCAGGATCCACCCTCCCTACTCAGGGGCTGAGAGGGGATTTTGCTGTAACGCTGCTGGAACCTGTTCCCCAGCTTGTCCACGCCAGGCTGGCACAGCCACTGCCCTCAGCAGTGACACCAAACCCAGCCCAGGAACACGGGGGAAATCCCAGTGCTGGCAGAGGGACAGCTCAGCCCATCAGAGCACAGCCCTGCACAGCAGGGAGCCCCAAGCTCAGCTCATCCCTCCCTCCCAGCTCGGGAGCATTTCTCTTCTTGGTGCTCACAAACTCCACTAATGAGGCACTGCTGCTCTCTTGTGGGATGGAAATTTTGGGGAGTGGCTCCCAAGGACTCCCAAGTGCCAGCAGAGGCTGCAGCAGTGCCACCCCCCAGCAGCACCACTGGGACCCTGGTGACAGGGAGCCATAGGTCAGGGTCCCTCTAGAACATCCTTTGGCCATTACAGATAGTTCCTGGAAGGAGGAGCAGACCTCAGAGTCACAGAATCTTAAAAAGATTTGGACTGGAAATGATCTTAAAGACCAACCAGTTCTACTCCCCTGCCACGAAGAAATACTTTCCATTAGACCAGGTGGAAAAGGATGAAAGAAACATTCAAGTTACCAAAAAAAAATTTATTTATGTGTTATTATTAATAACTGCTAAACTGAATTAAGAGCTGGAGCTGCTGGATTGAACCCAACACGTTGGGAAGGTTTTCCAGTTTTTTTGACAGCAAATAAAACAGGTGGACAAAGAGCAGCTAAGAAGATGCTGGCACTCAGGGAGAGACACCAGAACTTGGCAGCCAGTGGGAAAGGGGTCCTGTCCACCCTGTCCCACCATCGCAGTGCCCAGGCCATGCTGGGTGTGCTCTGAGCTTGCCTACACCTCCCAATCCCTTCTCTGGGAGAGCAGGATGGCAGGACAGTGCCACCTTCTGCAGCCAGGTGTGGCAGATGGAGCCCCTCAGCAGCTGCCAGGGCAGGGCGTTCCCATGCCACCCCAAACCCATTATCCCACCCCTGCCATGAGGCCGGGCACCCCTGCCCAGGATGTGCTGCTGAAGAGGAGCTGCTCTCAGCCACGTCCAAGTGCTGCTCAAAGAGGGGATCCCCACTGTGTGCAGGGGACACACAGACTGTCCCTGCCTGCCTGAGGGAGCGCTGGAACTGGATCCTCTCTGATGGGACACACGCTCCTGTCCCTGTGGGATCCACGTGGATGCTCCCATGCCCTCACCCCATCACCCTGGGATGTGGGAGCTGCCCTGCTGTGACTTCCCTGCCTTCTCCCCTCACCTGACTGATTTACAAACTCCAGGCTGGAAAACAAAGCTGCCGGTGTTGGAGGAGGACAGCGGGACCCTGGGAAAGGCCGGACCTCTCTGGGTGAGGAATGAACCCATCCACGGGTAGGGAAAATCCCACCTCTGCTCCCCTCAGCACGACCAGAAACTTCATCCTTTTAACCCAGCAAAGGGGGAGTCTCCGCTGCCCCCCAGACTGGACCCAGTGTCCAGGACCGGGAGCATCCCCAAGATTTATCCACAAACTGGGTGTGCAGCAGGTCCTGAACAACTGTGCTGAACCGAAGCCAAGAGCTGCGCTGGTGTCCCGGCCCGGGGGATGCCGCCGCCCGCCCCGTCTCAGTGTAGCACCCGCGGAACAGTCCTCGCTGTTCTCCCCGGAATGAATCCCCGCTCCACGATGAATTCCAGGAGATCCCGAGGGTGCTCCTGCCGCTCCAGCGGCAGCGCGGAGCTCTGGCGGAGCTCGGACCGCTCCCGGAGCCGGGAGAGGCGGCAGCAGCCCCTGAGAACGCCGCGAGGAGCGGCACCAGCCCCGCGGGCACTCGGGGCCGGTGGGGGAATCGCGAGGGCGGTACCCGCGCCCAGGGCATCCCCGGGGCCCCGTGCCCGGCCCCGGCCGTGCTGGGCATTCCCGGCCGTGCTGGGCACTCCCGGCCGTGCTGGGCATTCCCGGCCGTGCTGGGCATTCCCGGCCCGGGAGGCTCCGGTACCCGGTGATCCCGCGCCCGCTCCCCCGCGGCCACAGAGCTCCTCTCGCTGCCGCCCCACCTCTGTCTGTTTCTCCTTCTCTTTACTGTTATTTTCCCGCCCTCTCACCCTCCCCGGCGGTGCTCGGCTCTCCCAGGCCCGTCTCGTCCCGCGCTGCTGCCGCTCCCTCAGAGACCGCTCGGTGCCCGCGCCTTTCTCGAGGACAGAGCAGCGCTCGCCGTCCGAGCAGCCTCGGGCAGAGCCGCGGGACGCTCCGGAGGCACAGACCCAGAGCCGCGGGACGCTCCGGAGGCACAGACCCAGCGCTCGGGGCCCGCCGCTCCCCGAGTGCCTGAGAGACAGAGGAGCCAAGGCGACCACCCGGTCTGCTCCTGGGCGCCGCCATCATGGCTCAGGGCAGGGAGGGCCGCCATTGGCTGAGTCGGGGAGGGCCCCGAGGATCGACCAATCACCGACGGCAGTGGCGTGATGGATGCGAGGGGGCGGAACCTACTAGCAGGGTGGGAGAGACCATCTATGGGCAGTGCCGGGGGCGCTGGGCGGGGCTCGGGAGAGACCATTGCGCTGCACGCGGGGGCGCGGGGCCGATGCCCGGGCGGCTCCGGGCCGGGCCCGGCCTGCGGCCAACGCCAGAGTCCCGGCCCGGTGCGGCCCTGCCATGGGCGGTGACACCGTCCGTACGCCAGGGTGCTCCCTGCCCCTCCAGCCCGGCAAAGGGGAGCACGAACATCGGCCCTTGCACCCTGGAGGTGATTCCCGGCAGGGGATCCGCCTTGGGCTGGGGCCGGAGCTCGCGGGGTGAAGCGGCAGCAGAGGAGTTGCTGGAGTTGGTGCGGAGTTCTCAGCAGGACTTGCAGGAATCTCCTGCTCCTGCTGTGCCGGGGCTTCCCGAGGTCCCTCAGCTCCAATTCCAGTTTCCATCAGTCTTGGCTCTTGTGTTTTCTCAGTCGAGAAGCGAATGTGCCCTGCAGGTGATGTCCCCCTGCCTCCAGCCTCGCAGGAGGAGGAGCTGCGGGAGCCATTCCATGAGGGATGACCAAGTGCGGCCCTCAGGTGTGAAACTGCAGCAAACAGACGCAGGAACTGACTGGGATTCCTTCTCCAGAATAAAAACAGACTCGGGGTAGATTTCACTGAATTGTGGTTTAATTTCATTATCTACTGCTGCTACATCTGTACAACATTGTACAAAATGTAATCTCAAGAACATTCCAGCCCCACAGCTGTGTTTGGCTCTGCTCTCTCCTGTCACAAAGTACCCTTGGTGCTCTGGCTGTGACACCCTCCCACAGCCACCAGAACATTTTGCTGTCCAGGCCCAGTGATGGGAACCCCTGGCTGTGGCAGGAGGTCCCTCGAGTCCCTTGTATTTCTGGTCAGACAGAAAGGATTTTTACCTCTTTCTGCTCAAGGCAAAGCCTCCCAGCAGTGCCATGACCAGCGCAGTTGGGATGCACAGGTGATGCTGGGGGTGATTCAGGACTGGCACAGCGTTTGTACAGCACACTTTGTGGGTTTTGGGTTGTAGACTGCCCACACACGGGTTGTAGACTGCCAGTCCTTCCTACCAGTGCATTTGCACTGGGAGCTTCACCTATCCCATGCCAGGCTAGTCTGAGATTTCATCTCCTGCCCAGACAAAATGAGCAGGCAGATCTTTTAAACTTAGGGGTTAGGGAAGATAATCTACTTAGCAGCTACTGATAGTACAACATATGCAGAACTGCTTTTGCCATATTTGGGAAGCCTGCAAAGAATCACAAGGAATCCAAAATGATTGTTCTGGTTTGAAAAAGCAGATGTGAAAGGACCAGAGATCCCTGATGTCCAGAAAGGTCCTTATTGTGGGTGAGTGCTGTGGCAGGATGATCTCTCCCATCCACCTGTGTTCTCCACAGAAAGTTTCATTTTGGCCAATTATTTTTCCTCTCATCTTCTGTGTTCCTGAAACTTCTAAGCTGTGTTTTAAAGGTCTCATAGAAAGCCTGATTATTGAAAAAAAAATACAGTGCTCTTAAAGCTTTTTCCCCCAGTATTGATGGCAATGCAGCATCATGTTCAACATGCAATTACTGGATCTGAAAAATAACACCCTCAGACTGTGAAGAACATCTGACAATAAATGCACAGCCTTCATATGGACAAGTCCTCACCAGAACCTTCTCATCCTCAGAGCCAGGCAGGGATGTTCTCAGCTGGGCCACGCTACAGGGAGGAGTCTGAAAGTGAGGGTAAGAGAGAAGCAGCTCAGGGTTGTAGTGAGGAAGATCAGAAATAGTCTGAAAAGCTCCCTGTGAGAGGGAGCTGAAATATTGCAGGGCCTAAAAGTCTGCAAGAGGGTGGCAAGGGTTTAACTGACCCATTTTGCCACTCCTGTAATCCCAGCAAGGTATTTTGCATTTAAAGAAAAATATTTGACTCCAAGTAAAGGATATTTCACTGGGTACAGTCACCAACAATATTTATCCATAAGTATATCCAAGAGTCTATCCCCAGCCAATCCCACTGCCCTTCCATCCACATGAGGATCCCAATGCCTCTGACCATGTCCCTCTCTCTTCTCCCTTTGTGTTGGCTTTGGCCAAACATCAGCTGCTCTCTCAATGCTCCCCTCACGTGGCACATTTGCCAGGGTCTTTATTCTGCAGCTCCTGCACTCAAGAAAGTGATATTATCCTTGATATTATCCTACCTAATGAAGATGGGATTGTTCCTTCTAAAAAATTTGCTCAAGCTCAGCCAAAACCTCTGGGTCATGTAGAAATCAAGCGGTCTTTCCCATCTGCCTTTTTATTTCTGGTTCTGTTTGGTACTTGATCACAAGTACCATGATTAGGAATTCATTTAAACCACCCAAATGTACCATTGCTTTCTCAGCAGGTGGAGCTGGCTGGGGACCATTTTTGAGGCTCTGGGCAGCAGTGCCAGCCCTGGATCCACCAGGGAAGCAGCACTGCACAGTTACCTTTGATGGCGAGGAAGGCTTTGCTGAAGGCACGGCCCACTTCATTGCTGGCTTCCACCATGTACTCCCCCTCATCCTGCTTGGTGACCCCCAGCACCACCAGGGAGCACACCCCGAAGTCGTTGGTGCAGAAGTAGTTGGGATCTCTGGAGAGGTCTCTGCTGTCCTTGTACCATGTGATTTTTGGTGGGGGATGGCCTCCAACAGCACAGCTCATGTGACACTCGCTGCCCGTCACCACCACGTGAGACTTAAGGGGCACCAGGAACCTCGGGGGCTGGTTCTGGTTAACTCCCCTGTATTTCTGTGCTTTCACTCGAAATTCAGCTGTGAAAAATAAAGCACCAAACACACACTCAGATACTTCTCCCAGCACTGTAGAGTTTGCAGGGGTTTGTTTGTGCAGTCTAGAACTCTGCAAATTATCAGAGATCCCATGCACCTATAGATTGTAACCTCTGCTTCTCCTCAGAATTACCCAATATTTAACTTCAAAGACAGAAACTTTGGTTTCTACAATACTAAAGCCTTAGATTTTGCTGGGAATTCATTTTGGGGAAAATTGCATGTCATTATGGCTGGCAATGAAGGGTCTGTCTGCACAAAGTCCCTGCAGAAAGAACAAACCTTCCCTGCCCAGCTGGAATTCCTCAGGGCATCTCTGTGCATTCCTGTTCTGGGCCACTGAATATTCCCAGGAGGAGAGATCCATTTGAGGGTGGGGTATTAGAAGCAATGAAAGAAACAAAACACAACACAGAGAAATACTTAAAAATGTTTTACCCTTTTTCTTCCAGATCCTCCAGGGCTGCACAGTATCTGATGGATCACTGACTCCCAGGTCATTTTTTGCCACAACCCTGAAGTAATAATCCCTGCCTGGGACCACCCTGGTGAAGGTGAACTTGTTGTTGTAGATCAGGTCCCCCAGCACATGCCACAGGCCCTTCTGGGATTCCCGTTTCAGGACAGTGTAATACAGGTTCTTCTCCCACTGCTCAGATGCTGAGGGGTCCCAGGTCACTGTCACTGTGTTGGGCACATTCTCCTCCAGCCGGATGGCTCCAGGGGGCTGAGGGATATCTGCCAGGGGAGGGCACACAATGACACAGCTGTAGGGACAGTGGCACAGAACCCTAAAATCCTGGAGTCTGTTGCATGTCTGGGGCTCAGTGACCATCCTGATCCCTGGAAGGGATAAAATGCCATTCCTTCTCCAGGCACACACATGCTTTTGCTATGAACTGAGCTGCTGCTGCAAATATCTGCACTGGCTGAGCAGTGAGAGGAGGGTGGAACAGCTGAGCTGCTTCTCCTCCTGGGGTCACAACTGGGAGAGCTGTGCTCAATGTCCTACAGCCTGTGCTGACCTCCCTCATTCACTGTGGAAGGATAGTTTTAGTCAGTGGATTGCTCTGTCCTGCAAACAAGTGAGATCATAAAGTGCTTAGACAATCTCATAGAAAACTGTACCCTGGTTCTCCCTGTGCCTGCACAAACTGCATCAGATCTCACCATGCCAAACTCAGTTTGTGGCCTTCTGCCTACTCACAGTAAATCATGGAAGCCCAGACTGGTTTGGGTGGCAAGGGACCTAAAAGCCCATCCAGTCCCACCTTCTGCCATGGGCAGGGACACCTTCCACTATCCTGGACTGCTCCAAGCCCTGTTCTACCTGGCCTTGAACACTTCCAGGGATCCAGGGGCAGCCACAGCTTCTCCAGGCAGCCTGTACTACCCTCACAGGGAGGAGTTCCTTTCCAATATCCCATCCAACCCTGCCCTCTGGCAGTGAAAAGCCATTCCTCCTTGTCCTGTCCCTCCAGGCTCTTGTCCCAAGTCCCTCTCCAGTTCCCTTGGAGACCTTTAGGCACTGGAAGGGGCTCTCAGATTTCTCCAGAGCCTTCTCTTCTCCAAATGAACATCCCCAGTTCTCCCAGCCTAGCTCCAGAGTAAAGAGGCTCCAGCCCTCTGAGTATCTCCGTGGCCTTCCCTGGAATTGCTCCAGCAGCTCAACATCTTTCTGTTGCTGGGGGGCTGGAGGCAGCTCTGCAGGTGGGGTGCCACCTGAGGGGGCAGAGGGGCAGAATCCTCTCCTCCCCTGCTGCCCATGCTGGGGGATCAGCCCAGGGCATGTCCAGCTCTCACCCACCAGCACCCCCAAGTCCTTCTCTCAGGGCTGCTCTCAGTCCCTTCATGCCCCAGCCTGGATTGGCTGGGAGTTGCTGGTAGATTTGTATGGATGGCAGTGAGTTACCTGTAATTTGAACCTGGAAGCTGAAGGTCTCCCTTTTGCCCAGCCCATCCCCAAGCTCCACAGTGTAGGTGCCGCTGTCACTGAGCTCGGCTGCCCTGAGCAGCAGCTGGCTGCTTCCATCCTCGGTGCTCACGGCAGCCCGGCTGGGAAGGGGGAGCCCATCCTTTAACCAGGTCACCACCGGCTCGGGAGATCCCTGCAAACAGCAACAACTCACAGCCACTTGTTTCACCTCCAGACTGTGTCTTGTATCTTAGTTTCATTATCTTACCCCAAATATGCACCTCCACAATGTAGTAATGTTTAGAAATACAGATCCACGATGGATCTGAGAGCCCTGATCTGTTCTATAGTTTATTTACTTTTTTTTTTTTCCTTTTTGTCCTTTAAGGATGTAATTGCAGTAAAGTGTTCAGAACTGTGTCAAACAAGCTATGCCAGATCAAGGACAGATAACTTCAGGAGACAGTATTTTCTGCCTTTAAAAAAAAAAGATTTGTTGGTTTTGGAAAGAAAAAACCATCCTCTAAATCTTTATTTCCATTGTGCCATCTTAGGAGAAAGGCCAGCAAATACACACCCTTCATCACCCTCCTCTGGTATCCCAGACTTCACAGGATTATGGAATCATTTATGTCTGGAAAAGACCTACAAGAGCATCGAGTCCAACCCATGCCCCATCCCCACCTTAAAAGCACTTTTACACTTTTTACACGAAAGGTATTCCTTGGACATCTCCAAGGATGGCGACTCCAAACCTCCCTAGGCAGCCCCTTCCAAAACCTGACCACATTTCCCATGAGGAAAAGCCTGTGTTGTTCCAAGCTTACTCCAAAGCACTGAGATTTCTGTCAGTGCCTGCCAAGTTCTCAAGTCACAGAGCTCAAGTGCTGCTGTTTGGTGAGCAAGCCCAGTGAAGGTGTTGCTGGGAATGTGGTACCCCAAGGCCTTCTGAGGGAGTCACAGGGAAATCCCTGATTTGGGATGTCTGACAGAGCAGTACCAGATGAGGATAACATTGATAAGGCTACGTGGACAGCACTGAGCCTTGTCTGCAGAGGTTAAGGAATGACCACAATGTCATAAAACACCAATGCCAAGACTGACGACTCGATTCTGGCTTGTGTTTTCCTCACCATGAAAGTCTACACAGCACAGGCAGGCCAAATTATTTGCCCAGTGACTTGTAAACAAAATTCCATGACATAAAAACAGTGGCTCAAGTTTTCCTGTCTGCTATAAAACCAGGCAGGGAATTCCTCCAAAGCCCTGAATACCCACCTCAAAGGGAATCTTCACCCGGATGGGATTCCCTGCTTTTATAACCAGGAAGCTTTTCACTGTGTCATCTATCAGTAACCTGGGAGAGACTGGAAGAGACAAAGATTACTCCCAAAAGGCAGATGTTGGTGCAGTCACTGGTGACAATTACAGTGTTCCACCCCCCCGGTGCCTCTGCCAGCTGAATGAGGCTGGTGAGGGACTCACAGTGGGAAAATCTCCCTGGTTCAGTCCCAGACTTTACACCTCTCAAATTTCATTACTATTTATTTATCACCATGACTAAACAAGGGAAAATGATGTAAAAATACATTCACAACAATCTCTCTATTCATGTGATGTCTCAGTCACAGAGAAATTTGCTCTTTGCCACACTTTATCCCATCACAGGGATCATCTTTTGTGTTTAAATGGGGTCTGGAAAAAAGAAATTCCAATGAACACATATATGCAGCACAGAGCACAGAAAACCCACAGGAAAGCTGCCAGAGTTTATCTAAAATAGTGTTTTTTAGCATTTAAAAGATATTATTTTCTCTTTTCATGAATACACTACAGCAGTTAGTATTTATCTAAGAATACCAAATACAGTAATGCTAAATTATATTTAGTGTTTCCAGTATAGAACTGAACACCTGCTTTAGATAGATTTATTTTATTTTATTTATTTTAGGTTTTTTATTGATAAATGGGGTCTCCGGGCATATGCCAAAGTAGAAATTTTCACTTAGGATCCAAGTTAAGGAAGATGAACTCATCACAGAATTATCTCTTACATCTGTAATTCTGCTCTGTTCCCAAAGAGCAGGGAAAAAACAGAGCTGCAGATTGTAAATAAAGATGGAAAAGTGAAAATGGTAAAAACTTTCAAACTAAACAATTAAAAAGTAAAATAAAGTATCCAAAACCAGCATTAAAAATGTGATTTAAGAGAATGAAATAAAATGTTTCATTTCAGAACTGCCTAAAAATTGAGCGGAAACTCTGTTTTTGCCTTGGAAGAGCGCAAGCAGGGTTCTGTCTGGTGACTGTGGTGTGGCCCTGCACAGGGGGCAGAATGTAAATCCAAGGAGAAAATGGAGTTCTGAGGGTTGTTTTGTCCAGAGGAGTCTCTAAAATGAGCTGAGCACTGTGCACTGCATACGTAACACCAGTTAATATTGAGAGTGCCCTGCTGAGGTGAGCAGATAACCCCGAGGTGAGCAGGAGCAGCGCTGCCCTGTGCTCGGCTGAGCCTGGCGACAGCAGCTCCCGGAGCGCCACAGCCCGGCCGCTCCTCTGCCGGAGAGGGCCCCGTTCCGGGGACAGAGCCCCGGGCAGAGTGCCCCGTTCCGGGCACAGAGCCCCGGGCCCGACTCACCCACAGCAGCAGCAGCTCCAGCACACGCCTCGAGCTCCGAGGCCTCCCCGGGGCCGCCGTCGCCGAGGGCCCTGACGCGCAGGAACAGCTTCTCCCCGGCCCGCAGGCCCTGGACCCTGCACGAGGTGCTCTCCGCAGGGAGCGTGAAGCACTTGGTCCAGCTGAGGCTGTTACAGGGCCTCATCTCCACCTCGTAGCCTTTCACATCATTCCCATCTTGTACTTCAGGTTTGTTCCATGTCAAGGTGACACTGGTGCTGTCACTGCTGCTCACTTTAAGGCCCTGCACTTGGCCTGGAGATTCTGGATGGAGAAATTTTATTTAAACTATTTTTTTAGGATTTCTCTTCCCTCTTCAGTCACTGCCTGAGATTCCCCAACATTCTTGCAGTGCACTGGATTTCCACTGTGCTGTCTTGCCCCATCTCATCCCAGTTCTTCAGAGCTGGATCTGGGTCCTTGCTCCTACCAGCCCTGCAGTAAATCCCCAACACTCCAAAACACTCTGTGGCCCCTCCTGAGTGTTCCTCCACACTGCACATCACCCCACACTGGGATCTGCCAAATCTTAACTTGGACATCCTACAGGAAATCCTTCCATTCCTTCCTCCAGCTGATTCTCAGCCATGAAACATTCTCCAATTACTGATCTTTGTCTCCACACACTTTTACAGAGGATTTAAGAACATCTCTCCACAAATACCCTGAAAGCAGAGCACAGGGCAGGGCACTTACTGGTGGGGTCCCGGGCCAAGGCAGGCTCTGAGGGGTCACTGGGCTGTCCTGTGCCAGCAGCATTGACAGCTGCCACGCGGAACTCATACTGCACACCCTTCTTGAGGCTGCTCACCTTCAGTTTCTTGTCTGCGGAGAGGAGAGAGGAGAGGGGAGAGGAGAGAGGGGAGGAGGGAGAAGAGGGGAGGGGTGTTGCCTCAGGGGAGCTGTTCCCCATCAGGAAAGGTGACACAACAAAGCCGTGCCTTACTTCAGGCAGAATTATGGACTGAAAAACTCTCAGGAGCCATAAAAGCTGTCACTGATTCTCCTGCCATTCCCTAGCCAAGTGCATGTGATCTTCTGGGATGTGTTCATTGTATTCCTTTCAAAATCAAACAGCCCTTGAATCACAGAATCCCAGAATAATTTAGTTGGTAAAGACCTCCAAAGTCACCCATCACCACCTTGATGTGAAAGGTGTAAGATCCTAAGCAGCTCCTAAACCCAGCTGACATTTTTGCCTTTTCAAATCCACCAGGCTCTTCCAGGAGTCAGAATACCCACCTTTGACAGGCACGTTGTTGACTGGCAGCCAGGTCACAGTGCCCTTCTTGCGTTTCTGAACAATGTATCCCATAATTTGGGAAGTGCCGGTTTTACAAGGAGCTTTCCAGGATATGGTGATGGAATCCCTGCTGGCACTGATGATCTCGGGGGGACCTGGGGCACCAGGGGAAGCTACGAAGAGATGAGGGCTTCATTATTAGCAGGTATGTTTTTATGAAAAGATAAAATGGTGCTGTGTGTAATTTCTTCTTCCAGACTCCCCCAGGTACTCCTATGGATGTGCTTTGAAAACCTGGCTGAGACCTGAAGCTGTGGATCCTGTTCCCCACACAAACTGGGTCCAGCATAGACTCTGTTCCTGAGTTTGGATTTCACAAAAGACCTGCTGTCATCAGGACTGACAATTCCTCTGCCAGTGGGGTGTGTCATTCCTACATATGAACAATCAGCAGCATTCTTGCTTTCAACAACACGAACTGGTAACAAAATGGATTTTCTTTGCCCTCTGCTAAAGTGTTCAAGATACAGAATCATGGGAATGAGAATGGAGAAAGAAGATAATTAGAACTGAACATTGCTCTCTCTAGTACTGCATTTGTGCTCATGGCAAACCTGTTCTAGTATTTAAACTCCTTGAAGGACAAAACCAATATTCAACCAAGTTGTTTGGAGATCAGGGGAATGGAGTGGTCATGCTGAGAAGGGCTGTACATATAAGTTCTTTTGCCTGTGGAGTTAAGAAAAGGCCTCACATATTCCCTTTGCAGCCACACGGAGAAAAATTTCCTTTCATCTTGATGCGTTTTTCATTTCCCCCATGAAACTTCCTTTCCAATCCAAAATACAGCATGACCAAGGAATAATTACATCTCACTCAGCAGCAGAGCCTACAACGAACTGCTGCTCTTGCTGGGCAACCTCCACAGCTTTGTGTGAAGACTGAAGTTGAGATCTGTAGCAACATCTACAATGCAGTGAGTTTCCTCTGATGTCAGCTTTGATAATGAATTTCCCAAATTGAATTACGAATTATGAGAAGTTCTCCTCACCTTTACCAGCAGCCTTCACTTCCCCTGACTCCAGCGCATCGCTCGCTCCCTCGGCATTCACGGCCCTCACCCTGAAGTAGTAGCTCATCTCTTCCTCCACTTTGCTCGTGGTGAAGCTGGTGCAGCTCCTGGGGGTTTCTCCCAAAGTCTCCCAGTCGTTCCTGCCCACCTGCTGCCTCTCCACGAGGTACCTTTGCACTGGTTTGCCCCCATCGTCCTTTGGGGGCTTCCACTGGATTGTGATGTTGTTGGCAGAGCTTTCTACAATTTTGATGGGTCCTGCTGGAGGCTGTGGCTTGTCTGGAAAGATGAACAGAGACACAGCTGACTCCAGACCCAGACCTGCTCCTGGGTTTGGAGCAGACACTGTCCCTTCCTCACCAGCTGGGAGACTGCTCCTGGTGAAATGCAGGCACAGTTGTAGGATGAGGGCTGGGCATGTGAATTGCCTCTTCAAAACTTGCACTCTTCTAACTTTTGATGGAGAAGAAGGAAAGCCAGGCCCTTGCTCTCCCTGGGTCAATAGTTCTCATAAGCATTGTTCAGCTTGCTAATACAGGCAAAATGTCATTTCTGGTCTCCCAAAGGAGCCCAGACATTTATGGGAGGGCTGAATTGGACCTTGATGTCCTATTTCAGATTTACATGTTGTGTACAGTCACATCTCCCACAGTGTCTGAACATTCAAAACTCAGCTGCTTAGGCCATAAAAAACCAAACTGGGTTTGTGTTCCCTTGTACTAAAGGGCATGAAGCATGTTCAGCAATCTTTCCTTGTACCCTGATTTTGGAGCAATATACAGAGTCTTGTTCCTCTCAAAATACCCAGTCACTCCAAATAAGGTTGTCTCCAGTGTCAATGGATTCCCTGCCTAAGCTTTACAGTGAAAGCCACAGTGAATGTTATAGGATCTTACCTATCACCACGAGCTTTAGGTTGATCTCCAGGACACCACTGTCGTTCTTGAGCCTGACTTTGTAATCCCCACAGTCCCTCCTGTCACAGCTGGAGATGGACAGTGTGGTGCAGGTGTCTGTCTTGTCCACACGGATCCTGGTGTCATCCCCCAGCTCCATCCTGTCCTTCAGCCACGCCGCCCTGATGGGCCCCCGGCCCTCGAACGGGATCCGCAGCTTCACTCCCTCCCCGGCCTTGGCCACTGTGGGGACACTGGTCAAGTTCTTGAGGAGAACTTTGTCCACCTGGGGAGGATCTAAGCAGGTGATACAAGGTCATTAAAAACCACAATTCAAGGAGGATAAGGCTCACCTTGGAGGGAAGGGATCCCCTCATGGTGCTGCCAGTAATGCTTAGAAGCTCACAACACTTGGATCTGAACCTTTAGTTGTACTTTGCTACAGGATAATTATCACAAAATTTTGTGGTATCACACTGTCCTTTCACTACAGAAAATTTCTCCTAGGCAACACACTAAACACAAGAATGAAGAGTCTGCCCTGGTAAAGTGTTTTGTGTACCCCAAAAATATTTGAGTTGCTGGCAGAATCGTCCCTAGTTAAATTTGCAAATGCAAAATGAACCAACCAGTACAAAAAACATTTCCCATTTATCTTGTAATTCTTTACAATAAATTTATCTCTATAACCAATAATATGTCTCTGAGTAAATATATTACATTTAAAGCCCATCTCATGCTGCCTTGATGGTTTGACTAGACTCACCTTCAACAAAAATTGAAGCTTCAGTTTTTACATCTCCACCTTCAAATCTGTATTTCCCAGCATGAATATCTTCAGCCTTGTTGATGATCAGTTTGTGGACAAGACCTTTCTTTTCAAAGACAACTCCATCCATACTTGTTAACTGCAAAATAAAAGACAGAGACCTATCCTTTTTAAAAAAAAGGGAAAAAATGCAATCCAAAACTAAAACTGGACAGACTACAATTTGAAATGCAGTTGAAAAGACTTATGAATGTCATCCATATTTAACGACAATATTCTGGTATTCTGTTGCCCAGAGAAGCTGTGGCTGCCCCATCCCTGAAGTGTCCGAGGCCAGGTTGGACGAGGCTTGGGTCTAGTGGAAAGTACCTCTGCCCAGGGCAGGGGGTGGACTGGATGATCCGTAAGGTCCCTTCCAACCCAAACCACTCTGGGATTCTGGGGACCCTTCCAGGGCCCCACTCAAGCTGCAGGTGACTGTCAGCGGGAAGGACACCTTGACACCACCCTTAGGAAGTAGAGCCAGAAAGCAGAGCTTTGCTACCCAAAGGCAACAGCAAGCTCAAGGCACCCACCTTGAGGCCATCCTTAAACCAGGTTCCTGTCACGTTGTCCTTGCTGACAGTGCAGGACAGCTCAGCTGGGTCCCCCTTCAGCACTCGCACGGTTGCCAGCTGCTTGTTGAGGTAACAGCGCGGGACTGAACAGGCACAAAGGAAGGGAAAGAAGCTAAGTCTGTGCTACAGAGAGACACCTAGAGCTGAAAATGCATGGGCACGTGAGGTAAAAAGAGCTTTTAAAAAAAACATCCTCTGGTCAGGAAAGGCTTTTGTGCCACCTCAGTGTGGGCCAGCTAGGTACACTCAGTGCCTTGAGGGCCAACATCAGCTATCAACTATCCCGATATCCACCTCGTGGGCAATGGATTCACCACAAATCACATTATCCAGCTGTGGATTTGCTAGTTTATGTCTGTGCCAATTGTCTTGCCTCCCTCTACAGCCAGTGGAAAAAACCAGGCTGCTCCAGGTTGTGGATGTAGTGCTTCATCCTCCTCTTCCTCTGCACTGACTGCACATGGGGCTGCCCAACATATCCCCTAAACAGCCCCAGGCATACTGCTCTCCACCCATGTATTCCTCTTTCTCTTCCCAAGTTCTTCTCCATTACCATCATAATCTTGTCTCTAATATATACCCCACACCTTCCTCCTGAACCCAAATTTTGATGATTTTATTTCCTTGTTTATATTTATGGTTTAGCAATGATAATTCCTAACTTGTGAACCATCCCATTAGGCCAATATTCCCCTCGGATTATACACCTGAAATTTCTAATTCCTACAATTTTCACATCATCATCTTGTTGGTGGAGCCACAGGTCTTACTCAAATGACTGCAAACACATTACTCCCCTCTTACTCTATGCAACACCATATTATTCCTGATGTTACAAGAGAAAATAACTCTATACATTATATAATCCCATATAAGCAGGCACAGAATTGCTTCCAGAACTTGGAAAACACAGTTCTTTACAGTAGGTTTTTGAAAAATTAAGTGAAACCATCAGTTTTGAATTGGAACAGTATCAAAGAAACATGACGATACTCCTTGAAACTTTATGGGAATTGGTATGTTTGTGAACTGGTCTGTTCCATGATATGTGAAACACAAATGAAGAGATGAGACCTGGTTTAGATAATTTAGACAAAGAAAATAATTTAGACCTTTAAGGCAGTTTGATCAGAGCACACTGTGTAAGATCAAACAGCCAACCAGTGGGAGAATTAGGAACAGATCACGGGACCACCAAATTTCTATAGAATTGTGTTTATCTAAACCATAAATCAATTTCTTTGCAGGATTAGGAATGTGAGTATCAAAATGCAAAGACCAGGAGTCAGCAGTTAACCACGTACCTTTGATATCATCCAGGACACTCCGTCTCTTTTGTGCTGTGTTTTCCGTGTTGTTCAGGGAATCATTTGCTTTAAGATCCAGGTCAGGTTCCTGGTTTCTCTGGTTTGCTGAAGGAGGTCCACCAAAAGGACCTGACATCTGGCCATAACTCAGTGGACCTTGACCAAACCCACCTGAACTACTTCCGTCAACAGATCTGTCATGGGATTTACTCCCTGCCTCTCCAAAGGCAGAATTTGTGTCATAAAGGGAGTCCAACTGTCTGAAATCTCTGCCCTCTCCCCTGGCTCCTCCTGGACCTGACAGGGACCCTCTGTCACCAGCTGAACCTTTGTTCCCTGGCCCTCTGACATCACTGGCAGTGCCCTTTCCAGTTTCACCTCTCAAAGATCTGCCAAGATGTGCATCCAGCCCATATTCACCACCTGGTCCACCAGCAGCTTCCACACCTCCTTTACCATGGACTGAATCCCATTCATCCCCTCCCAACCTCCCAACTCCACCTGCACCAGCCGTGGCTACAGCTGACCCTCTGTTCTCGCCACAGGGAGACCCTGCACCCCACAGTGCAGAGCCTTCCCTGGAAAAACCCTCTCCTCCTGCTCCACCTGCATATCCCGGAGTTCTGCTCAGTGTGGCATCTGTGCCACAGCCAGATCCCATCGCTTTCTCCCCTCCAAGAGGAAAATGAGCAGCTCCTGCCACAGCCCCAGCTGGGAGACCATCCTTTCCATAGGGACCCCCAACTCCCCCTGCACCACTAACACCAGCACCTGCTCCAGTTGGGAGACCATCCTTCCCATAGGGAGCTCCAGGTCCCCCTGCATTAATACCACCAAAACCAGTTGCAACTGGCAGACCATCCTTTCCATAGGGACCCCTAATACCCCCTGCACCACTAACACCAGCTCCAGCTAGGAGACCATCCTTTCCAGAGGGACTCTCAGCTCCCCCTGAACCACCACCACCACCACTCCCAATTGGCAGACCATCCTTTCCATAGGGAGCTCCAACTCCTCTTTCACCACCAATCCCACCAACATCAGCTCCAACTGGCAGACCATCCTTTCCATAGGGACCCCCAATACCCCCTGCACCACCAGCCCCACCAGCACCTGCTCCAAGTGGCAGACCATCCTTTCCATAGGGACCCCCAAAACCTCCTGCACTACTAACACCTGCTCCAAGTGGCAGACCATCCTTTCCATAGGGACCCCCAACACCCCCTGAGCCACTAATGCCATCACCTGCTCCAACTGGCAGACCATCCTTTCCATAAGGACCCCCAACACCCCCTGCACCACCAACCCCACCAGCACCTGCTCCAACTGGCAGACCATCCTTTCCATAGGGACCCCCAACACCCGCTGGCAGACCATCCTTTCCATAGGGACCCCCAACACCCCCTGAGCCACTAATGCCATCACCTGCTCCAACTGGCAGACCATCCTTTCCATAGGGACCCCCAACACCCGCTGCACCACTCCCACCAGCACCTGCTCCAGCTGGGAGACCATCCTTTCCATAGGGAGCTCCAATTCCCCTGGCACTTGCAGAACCTGCACCAGCAACACCTGCTCCAAGTGGCTGACCATCTGGACTATACAAAGCTTCTCCAAGTCCTACACCACCTTCACCAGCCCCAGCTATGAGACCATCCTTTCCATAGGGAGACCCAAATGCCCCTGCACCAGGCCCACCAGCACCTGCTCCAGCTGGGAGACCATCCTTTCCATAGGGACCCCCAACACCCCCTGCTCCACTAATGCCAGCACCTGCTCCAGCTGGGAGACCATCCTTTCCATAGGGACCCCCAACACCCCCTGCTCCACTAATGCCAGCACCTGCTCCAGCTGGGAGACCATCCTTTCCATAGGGACCCCCAACACCCCCTGCTCCACTAATGCCAGCACCTGCTCCAGCTGGGAGACCATCCTTTCCATAGGGACCCCCAACACCCCCTGCTCCACTAATGCCAGCACCTGCTCCAGCTGGGAGACCATCCTTTCCATAGGGACCCCCAACACCCCCTGCTCCACTAATGCCAGCACCTGCTCCAGCTGGGAGACCATCCTTTCCATAGGGACCCCCAACACCCCCTGCTCCACTAATGCCAGCACCTGCTCCAGCTGGGAGACCATCCTTTCCATAGGGACCCCCAACACCCCCTGCTCCACTAATGCCAGCACCTGCTCCAGCTGGGAGACCATCCTTTCCATAGGGACCCCCAACACCCCCTGCTCCACTAATGCCAGCACCTGCTCCAGCTGGGAGACCATCCTTTCCATAGGGAGCTCCAGTTCCCCTGGCACTTGCAAAACCAGCACCAGCAACACCTGCTCCAAGTGGCCGACCATCTGGACCATATAAAGCCTCTCCTGCACCAGCTCCACCAGCTCCAGCTGGGAGACCATCCTTCCCATAGGGAGCTCCAAATCCCCCTGCATTAACACCACCAAAACTAGCCCCAGCTGGGAGACCATCCTTTCCATACGGAGATCCAAGTCCCCCTGTACCACCAGAACCACCAACACTAGCTCCAACTGGGAGACCATCCTTTCCATAGGGAATTCCAAATCCCCCTGCACCAGCACCAACACCTGCTCCAATTGGCTGACCATCTGGACCATACAAAGCCTCTCCAAGTCCTCCTACACCAGCTCCACCAGCTCCAGCTGGGAGACCATCCTTCCCATAGGGAAATCCAAATCCCCCTGCACCAGCACCACCACCACCACCAGCACCAACACCCGCTCCAAGTGGCCGACCATCATACAAAGCCTCCCCAAATCCTCCTGCACCACCAGCACCTGTTCCAGCTGGGAGACCATCCTTCCCATAGGGAGATCCAAATCCCCCTACACCAGCTACACCAACCCCACCAACACCTGCTCCAACTGGGAGACCATCCTTTCCACAGGGAATTCCAAATCTCCCTGCACCAGCACCACCACCAACACCTGCTCCAAGTGGCTGACCATCTGGACCATACAAAGCCTCTCCAAATCCTCCTACACCAGCATCACCAGCCCTAGCTGGGAGACCATCCTTCCCATAGAGAGATCCAAGTCCCCCTGCACCACCAGCCCCACCAGCACCTGCTCCAATTGGAAGACCATCTTTCCCATAGGGAGCTCCAAGTCCCTCTGCACCAACACCACCAAAACCAGCCCCAACTGGGAGACCATCCTTTCCATAGGGAGACCCAAATCCCCCTGCACCAGCTCCACCAGCACCTGCTGCCAGTGCCTGACCATCTGGACCATACAAAGCCTCCATTTCTCCTGCAGAATTGCCACCTGTACCAGGTGTAGCCCCATCTCCACCTGGAAGGCGTCCTGGCCCATATAATGAGCCAGATCTTCCTGTCTGCCCTAACTGACCACTGGCATGAGGTGTCAGGCCATCCTTGCCATAGGGAGTCCCTGTTTGTCCCTCTCTGTTTACACCTGCTCCATTCATATCACCCACAGTGGCATGCCCATCCTTGCCATGGTGGGACCTCATTCCTCCTGCCATTCCAGCACCTGCAGCATTCCCCCCACCTCCAGCTCCTGGACCAGTCCTGCTGAACAGATCACCCACACTGGCTCCCACTCCAGCTGAATCAGGATCAAGGCCATCTGGCACAGAACTTTCACCACCCAACCTCCCAGAACCCCCAAAACCAGCTCTGTAACTGGCATCACCTAAATTCCCATCCTTGTCATGCTGAGAGCCCAAACCTTCTCCATCATCCATGTCAACGTTAACAGCACCCAGCAAACCTTCACCTCTGCCATCCACAGAATTCCATTCACCTGCCCCTCCTACTGCACCACCTGGACCTGCTCTGCCTGACAGAGTGTCCATGCCATGGACAGCCCTTAACCCACTTCTGCCCCCTAAGCCTTTTAGCCCAAAGATGCTGCTGTCATTGGCTGCTGAGTCTCCATCTAGACCTGCTCCAGAAAACTGCCCAGACCCCATCTCTCCATTCATGTGGGTTTTGCGTAGCCCTTCTTTTCCCAAAAATCTTTGGCTTCCATCATCAGAATCAACAGAGTGTCCTTGGCCCCTGCCTTGACTGCTGCCTTGGCCTGTTCTGGACCAGCCACTTTTCTCCACACCAGAAGATGTGGAAAAGGAAGGACGACCTTCAGCAGCAGCTTGTTCTTGGCGCCGAAGCTTCCTCGCCCTTTCGTTGTCTGCCATTGTTTCTTTCAGCCACTCAGATGTCTCCCTTTCAATCTTTTCTCCTTCATCCTGTGTCCTCTTTCCTTTGGCATCTGAAGTTGCATTGTTTCATGACAGCAGATTTACAATTTACAGAAAAAGAGGGGAACAAAATAACAGAAAATCAATAGGACATGCACTGCATCAACAACCAAAGAAAATGTGTTAACACTTTTTGAATTTCATTTTAGGACATACACACACACACACACAATACATTTAAATAAATTTAATCCTGAATTTTTCAATGCCACATTCAGACAATGAAATGTTAGTTGAAGACAATTATTTTTAGTTAAAATGCATTTTTTTTTAATGGAAACATGCTCATTATAACAAACAAACAAACCAAAAATAACAGAAAAAGAAACTTCCAGCATGGCAGGTTGGATTTAGAGGGGCTGAGACTGTATGCGGGATTCATTAATTCTGTCTGCCTTCACCCTCCAGCTATGGAGGAGTTACAGAATATTCCAGGCACAGAGGAGCCATCAGTTCCCACCCTGGAATTGGGATTTCACTGCTCTGGAGGCAGCTTGCACATCTGGATAATGGCTGGTTTAGGGATGCCCAACCTAAGGACTAAAGCTTTCAGATCTGTGAATAGCTTTGGATTAATCTGAAATTCAGGCTGTTCTGAGAGCAGGTCACTCACTGCTTTGGTTTCCAGGTCAGATATAATTTATCAGAGCTCACAGCTCACTGAAATCCAAGGGAAATTTCTTTGTTTCAGAAACCTACATTGCTTTGGAAGGGCCTTTGTGAGAGAGACCCCTCCTGCTGCTGCAAGAGGATCCCAAAGGAAACCACAGTCAAAGGGAACCAAAGTAACCTCTCATAAGTAAACAAATGTAAGCCAAGTGACTGTGAATGTTCTTGCACTGTGTTCCCATCTTTCCAGCTTCCTCTGAGCTCTTTCCAGCATGTTTAACTCTAATTTGGAATGAAAAATGTTATCTAGCAAGAAGAATGGCATTGATAGTGTAGAACTGAGAGTATTAAAAGCTCCCTGAGCCCCTGCCTGCTGCACTGTGATCACTGGGACAGCTTTCTCAAAAACATGCGGGGAGATAGGGAGCGTTTTTCCAATAAGTGATGGAGAATGTGCTACTTCACCATAGCTGTAGAGCAAACAAGCCAGTAGGATTTGTCAGGACTAATTAAAAGGGGAAAAGTTGGTCTCATTTGAAGAGGAAAGAGGGTCTAACCAGACATTCATTTTTCCAAACAGGATTTAAAATAATGGAATCACAAAACAGTTTGGATGGGAAGGGACCTTAAGACTCATCTCATTCTGCCCCCTGACATGGGCAGGGACACCTTCCATATCTCAGGGTGCTCCAAGCCCTATCCAGCCTGGCCTCAGACACTTCCAGGGATGGAGCAGCCACAGTCTCTCTGGTGAGGCCAGGGCCTCACCACCCTCACAGCCAATAATTCCTTCTCAATATCCCATCTAACTCTGCCCTCTGGCAGTGGGAAGCCATTCCCCCTTGCCCTGTCCCTCCATCCCTTTTCCAAAGTCCCTCTGCAGTTCTCCTGGATCCCCTTTAGGCCCTGGAAGTGGCTCCAAGGTCTCCCTGGACTCTCGTCTTCTCCACACTGAACACCTCCAGTTTTCTCAGTCATAATTTTGGACTTAAAGGCTCAGCAATTAATTTCCCAGCAGAGCAACATCTCCCTGAACCATCAGGCAGTGAGAAGCATGTTTTGTGCCAACACACCATGGGAACAACCCGCTGCCAAGCACTCACACTCCACAAGGAGCCAGGCGCTGGAGGAGCCCTGTCCCGCGTCGAGCGTGTACAGGCCGCTGTCCGAGGGCCCCACGTTCCTGACAATCAGCTTGTGGGTCAGGCCATCAGGTGTCACAGAGATCTGGTGCTTGTCACTGGCCTGGAGGGGGTGGCTTTTGTGCAGCCACAGGGGCTGGTGGCAGGGCGTGCACAGCACACACTGGAACTCGGCGTCCCCGGCCTCGGCACAGCGCACGTCGGAGAGCGGCTGCCGGAACCGCGCCGGGATGGCTGCAGGGGAAACCGAGAGCTATGGGAAGGAAACAGCCACTTCTGTGCTCCAAGAAAAATTGTTACAGCTGAAGGAGGAAAGAACAGGAAGTTGTGGTGCCTCTGAGCACTGCCTTACTGAGAAAAAGGAAAAACTCAGATGTACTTCTGTGCCCAATTTTGCAGAAAAGCAGAAAAGTAGATTTTTGTCTTTATTATCTTCTGAGACATTTGTACCTCACAGCACTGATGTGCTTCCAGTCTGTAGTCATTGATGTGTTCCCGCAGTGTGATACTCAGATTGAGTTTGTTGGTATTATTCTGAGCTCACAGAAGCAAACTGTAATATGGGGTAGGTTAAGGAGTGTGCTCACTGTCACCCACAGCCAGACTGGTACTCGAGGTCAGGCCTGCTCCCTTGGACTGCAAATGCAGAACCTAAAGCACTTAATCACCCTCCTGCTCCTTTTCACCTGTGCCAGACAAGGAGCCTTTACTGGGCAGCACAAAACCAATCCTCTGTGGTGGTCAGGAGTTAGTGAGTTTGCACTTGCTCCTAGACACAATATTTTTTCCAGCAAAAAAACCCAACTTTTGTCACAGTTGCACACCATATCCATCAAACTGAATTCCTTACCTTGAGCATCCAGTTCAGTTGAGAAGACAGGGACGTCCTCCACCCTGACCTGGTACACCCCTGCGTCCTCTGGCTGCACATCGTTGACAGTGAAGTAGTACCTCCTCCCAACTCTGCGCAGGCAGTGCTTCCTGTACTCATCCCCTGTCCCGTACCGGAGCCGCTCGCCGTCCTGGCCAGGGGAGGGCAGGGCAGGAGTGTCCTCACAAAGGCTCAACCAGTGCCCGGCATTTCAAACACATCAGGACAGGCTGGTGCTACAATCCCCTTATTGATAAAAATGAGTAACCTCACAGTGCCCAGGGCTCTTTGCAGTACACAGGCACTGTCTGGGCAGTGAATCCTGCTCAGAGCAGGGCACCAGGCTCTGAAACTCAGCAAAACAGCAGCTCTTGGCTACCCACATAAGGGTCTGAAGCTTAATTAATACATAGTTCTTGCAGCTACAAAGACAAAGCACTTTTCTAGATTTCAGCATCCTCATAGCTGGATGTACAGGAGAGTTCACCGCTTTCTGTAGCACATTTGGGTTACATTGTCCAAATTGTGGCTCATTGACTTCATGTCATATATTTGATCCAGAAGATTCATACTTAGTCTGTCCTTCCCTTCAGGGCATTCTGATTTCCCCTGGATTAAAGCCTCTAACCACAATTTGACTAAAAATTATCTTTCAGAAAAACACACCCAGCAATGAGCACCTGCAGATTCCATCTGGGGGACTATGGATCTAGAGGGAATGTTTTACATCTCTGAGATCTTCTTTCACAGAGGGAGTTATAGTGCAATAAAACACTTGAGAAAGTGAATAAAATTTATATGAAACTGCAGAATTTCTGCAGCCTGAAAGACACTGTTGGGGTGATGGTCTTAAACTGAAGGAGGGCCAGATTAGATATAAGAAAGTAGCTTTCCCTGTGAGGGTGGGGAGCCCCTGGCACAGGGTCCCCAGAGAAGCTGTGGCTGCTCCATCCCTGGCAGTGTCCAAGGCGAAGTTGGACAGGGCTTGGAGCAACCTGGGATAGTGGAAGGTGTCTCTGCCCATGGCAGAAGGTGGAATGTTTTAAGGTCCCTTGATCTTTAAAAGGTCCCTTCCAACTCAACTGTTCTATGAATTTGCTGAAGACACAAGGACATCAGTAACTGACTGCATGCTCTGTACTTGGATCTACAAATCCACAGGGATATCCACCACCAAAGATCACCCCACACCCACAGTGCTCCCTAACCAAGCAGGGATCTGCAAAAGACAGACAACCTTAAGGCATTTATTTGCTCTCAGCCACTGCCTAGCAGATGAAGCCTTTTTTTGTAGAACACTTGAGGGGCTGCTCTGAGCTGCTGCTGCCAACTCATCCCTCTCACCTTGAGCAGGTAAACGTTGCTGTTGCTGTTTTTCAGCTCCATCTCCAGGCTGAACGTAGCATTTCCCTCCTTGTTGACTTTGATGTGTTCAAAGTTTTTGAGAGTGTGAATTAACTGCAAAGAAATGTTGAAGAACCTAGTAAATTATAAAGCTGCCATGACAAAAGTTCTTGAGCTGTTGAATTAATGTGAAATCTACTTTAAAGAGCTACCTCTAACATGATGTAGTAGAAGTATCTGTAAGTCACAGTTCTGGTACAGTGAGTTGCAGTGTCTGTAAGTTGCCACAGTTTCCTCCTGTATATAAATGACTTTTTATGTGTTGCCTCCTGGCCACTCCCACACTGCCCATCCAGGTCTCTACATGCCCCTGTATGTGAAAGCCAATTTTTACTCTTGGACATATAATTTTCAATTTGGGGTCCAAATTCTTATCAGAGACAACTGAATACCCCTGTGGTTAGTATCTCTAAAATCTGTGAACTGAGCTTCAAGAAATTCATTAGCATTTTCACTTGCATGAGTAAAAGTGGAACTTCTTTAAAATATTGTCATAAATCACTGTCATACAACAAAATTTTCATCTCCAAAGCAATTTAGGAAGACATAGCCTGTTTTCAGAAGCTGCAGTTTGTTAAAAATTAGTGGTTTCAGTTTATTTACCTTGTCCTGTTCACTCTCTGTTTCTTTCCTCATCTCCTGCAGCTTCCTCAGCATCCCACGGAAGTCAGCAATTCCATATTTCATACAGATTTTCTCATAATCTCTCCTATCTGCATGCAGCAGCAGCTGCCACACAGCTTCTTTGTCCAGGGGCTTTGGTTTTGGTGCTGCAGCTCTGAGAACCAGGGGGGAACCATTCAAACATTTTCATGGACAACAAAATGTCCTGTTTTCTATCCCTAATTCTCTTTCATCTCTCTCCATCATTCCTGTAGTTCACTTGGCCCTGTAGGTGCAGGCAGGAAAGACTGGGACTCTTCCAGAGCAGGTTTTCTGCATCTGTACTACAAATTAAATGGTGCCAGGGAACAGCTTCCACCCTGCTGAATTATCACCAGAGGGTCTGGTGCAGTTTGGCCCAGGCCAGGTAACTGCCTAGCACAGTTCAGGAGTCTGCACAGAGATCATTATCAGCAGACAATCCTTAGAGCTTCCCATCTGGGAAGGGAAGGATTCTGCCCAGTGCACCTGGCAGTGCAGCTGGGCTGGGAGCCAGAGCTCAGCCCCTGGGCAGCCAGAGCCATCAGTGCATGAAGAGTTGTTCTTTGGACAGGAAGATACTTGTGAGCTAAACACGGGAAGCAGAGAAACACAGCCTCCCTGTCAGACCCTCGTGGTGCAGAGGGAATACCCCTCACAATGAGGCTGCAATCTTGTGTTTATCTCAGTCCAGCTGGCAGTGCCAAGCTGTTCTGGCCTGTCTCTCCACAGGGAGTCTCACCACAACTTTGGACACAAGAAGTGTTGCCCTGAAGGTCTCTGGAGCTGTCCCCTAGCACTGAGAAACATCCAGAAGTGGGAACATGGCCCTCACTCCAGAGCCTTACCTCTTCCTCAGCATCTTCCTGGAGTCCAGGAGTGTCTTCTTGAGCTCTGTTGCAAGAGAGGGGGAAGCAACTAACAGTCACATACCCAGCACTGTGAAATGCATCTCCCCAAAGTAGATAATGCAGAATAGCCAATGACAACAGGGCATTCTGCTGAGGTCTCTTCCTCTGGTGTTTTTTTCACACTTCAACAAAAAACTGTCATTAAACTTAGTCAGTTCTCACTGCCATGCTCATCCTTTGAGTGCTAATGAAGTTCATCTCTCCCTAAAGGGCTTCCCTCTAGAGACCCACTATTGTCAGCCATGCTAACAAGTTTGATCCAGATGTTTAACATCCCCAAATCCCTTTTTCCTTTCCTAATGATTCCACAATCACTAATTAGAACAGCCCAAAACTGTGTCTAAAATCATCACTTTAGCAAAAGGTAAAGAGCAAGCAGACAGAGATGACAGAACATTAGAGGCTCATTAATCCTTCTCTTACTCCAATCTTTACAAGTCTGGGGTAGCAATAGTGTGACAGACTAAGTATTTTTCTCTCTGCTCTCCCCAATAATATAATATACATATAGATCTTTAACTTACCATCAGCAGCATGAACAGGAACATATTTTGCCTTCCTCTTAAAACCAACTGATCATTTATAAGAGAAAACAGAAGAAAAACAAGCTATAGGATGAACAAGATTAGATTAACAGCAGTGAACCAATGAGCCATGAAACCACTGCATCTGTTACCAGTGCAAGAGGGAATCCCAGTTTGGATTTCCTTGTCAATCTGACATTTGCTCTCAGTAAACTCCATCTATAAAGGTGATATTTATATTGCCATTGATTCTATGCTTCCTGGAGACTCCATGCAGAGGAGGAGAGCATTGTTGCCCTACCAATTTTATGGTCTAAGCAATAGGAGGAAATATCAACATCTTGTTTTAGAGATGGGAAGCCAAGATGGAAATGACAACAGTAGATAGGTGCCTTCTAAACTTACTTGAAAGGCACAGAGGTGACACGGACATTTAGATAGAATCCATCTTCTGCTCAAGTGGATTCCAAGAAGATCAGTTATGTCTGATCCACCAAGTGCCCATTTCTCTGCACTGACTATGACAGAAGCAGGAATGAGGTGCAGAGACAGCTGCAGAGGGATGGATCCCTCCCAAAGGGCTGATTCATTCAACACCATAAAGGAAAGATTGGGGCAGTTCAGCACTAAATCCAGGGTATCTGACTATGGACCAGTGCAGTGAGCACAATTCCACTTTCTTCCCCCTTGCCTGAAAGCTCACAATGCTAGGGAGCCACCAAAAGATCTCCAGTCTTCAATGAGGGGAATACCAAACCTTCACACCAAAATACCCAGACAAAGTCCTGGACACCCAGCCCAGGGAACAGCATAGCTCCTGGCTGGGACCACGGGGCCTGTGGAGCCCAGAGCTCCAGTCCTACCTTGGATGATCCTGAGGCCAGCAGAGCACGAGGCCTCTCCGTAGGCATTGACAGCACAGCAGCGATACAAATCACTGTCATCCTGAACCAGGCTCTTGATCTTCAAAGGAAGAGCACAGAAACTGCTCACAGAAAGGGCTGGGGTTCAGTTCACCTTCAGCTTCTCATAAAGCAGATATTCAATGGTACCTCAGAGGCTTCTCCTGTTCCCAGAAGGGCTCTAAAAAGCTTTGTTTGCTTATCTTTGTGTTATCTCAGAGCTGGGGAAGTGTAGAATCATGGAATACCCTGAGTCAGAAGGGACCCACAGGATCATCTAGTCCAGCTCCTGGATAGGACACTCCCAACAATCCCACCCTGTGCATCCCTGGCAGTGCTGTCCAATCACTCCTGGAGCTCTGGCAGCCTCGGGGCCGTGCCCATTCCCTGGGGAGCCTGGGCAGTGCCCAGCACCCTCTGGGGAAGAACCTTTCCTGATATCCAGCCTGACCTGCCCTGACACAGCTCCAGTCCTTCCTTGGGTCCTGTCCCAGCTCACAGAGAGCAGAGATTGGGGCTGCCCCTCTGCTTCCCCTCATCCCACTGCAGGTTTTTCCTGTCCATTTCTCTCAGTTCCACAACTCCTTTCTGAAATATTTGATCTTTACCTGCAGAATGAATTCATTTGTAGCACTATTGAAGGACATTTCATATTTGGCAGGATCATCCATTCCTTTCCGTGTACGTGACCATTTCACCTCAGGAGCTGGGACACCTTTGACCACAGCTCTGAAAATGGCATTTTTACCTTTGAAAAGAGACAAGAATTTAGTTATTTAAGACAGGCTTGGACATGAGGACACTCAGGCCTGGCCCCTTTTCTTATCAAGAATGATCCCCAGAGTGAGTAATTTCTGTTATTTTATGCAGAAACATTCTTCAAAAATAACATCTTCTTTTGCACATCAATAATTCAGGTTTTGTGTGTATTCAGTCATAAAAGGCCTTTAAAATCTGGCATTATCCTGCCAGATGTGGCTGCTGACATCTCTGGCCATCACTGAAATCAGAAGCCTGACAGCAAATTCAACCCAGACTTCCTTTTTACTCATGAAATGTCCAAATCCCTTCTCATCACACATATTCTCTATCAAATCCCACTGTTTCTCCAATCTTTAACTGGCACCACCTTGCACTCCAAACCACCAGGCTCTGCTGTTTGAAGAGACAAGGGAGGGAGAAAAGAAGGGGGTTCCTCTCCTTCATCTCTGCTCCCCAAGGAGCCTGAGTATCCAGCAGCCCACCACAGAAACCTCCAACAGCTCTCCCATGGCCCAGTAAAAGCCTCCTCCAACAGGCTCCAAAACCACAGGGAACACTGGGAAACAATCAGAGAAGTGACTTGTGTGGGTGAGTGGGAATAGAAATGGAGGTGAGTTATCCACAGAAACACCTTAGGGTGGAAATGATCACTCTCTATTATTTTTTAATACTCTTGGTCTTCAGGTGACCAACACTGTAAAGATTCTCCCTGGAAAGTCTGGCAATATTTCTCACACCTTTCTGCAGTCACCACCACCAAACTTATTTGATGGAACAAGTTCCTGCCAACAGATGCTTATAAAAAGACCTTCTCCAGCCTTTGATATTGCAGTACTGTCTCTCATTGAAGTCTGATTGCAGTTTGTTATCCCTGTATTACATTTTAGCCACTTTGGCTGCACTTTCCCTTGCTTGCCATCTGTCACAGACCACCCAGGCAGCAGAATCAGCTCAGCTACACACTGGACACAGTGGGGTGATGATAGAATTAAAGGCCCTCGTGGTGCCTCTACACAGACACAGAATTGCAGTGACCAACCTGAATGCACAAAGAACCTGCTGAAAATGAAGTAACTTGGAAAATTTATACAGGTGAAAATACAGACAGGTGAAAACTTAGCCAGGGGCCTTGGGTAGTGCATGAAACGTGCAGGTGGAGGAGAAGAGGGACAGGTTCCACTAGAGGCCACTGTGCTCCTTCATAAAACCTCAGTGGCTCCTGGAAATCCACAGGTGAGTGTGGAACGCCGAAATCCAAGCTGCTGGTTCAGTCCTGGCAGGCAAGAGGATCTACACGATGTTCTCAGGCCACTCCACACCAACAAAAAAGAAAAAACAAAAGGACTCTCTGCAGGCGCAGAGAGACCTCTGGGAGGCTCTTCATTGATTCCTGTTCTTGGCTCATCAGCTGCCTGCTCTGTGCTCTGTGCAAGATCCTTATGTTTTTCCTTACAGAATCATCACAGAACCATGGAATGGCCTGGGTAGGAGGGACCTCAAAGCCCATGTAATTCCACCCCCTGCCATGGGCAGGAACACCTTGCACTGTCCCAGGCTGCTCCAAGCCCTGTCCAGCCTGGCCTCAGACACTTCCAGGGATCCAGGGGCAGCCACAGCTGCTCTGGGCACCCTGTGCCAGGGCCTGCCCATCCTCCCAGCCAGGAATTTCTTCCTAATATCCCACCTAACCCTGCCCTCTGGCAGTGGGAAGCCATTCCCCTTGTCCTGGCACTCCAGGCCCTTTTTCATCTCTCCTGGAGCCCTTTCAGGCACTGGAAGGCTGCTATAGCCTAAACAGCACCTCCAGTCAGCATATCCTACTTTAAAAACAGCTGATTTTAGTGCTGAGCACAAGTTCTTTCAACAGGAAAACAAAAAAAACCGACAGCTTTTCATTGTAATTAATCTTTTGCTGCAAAATCTTTACTGTGAGAGCTTCCTGCAGAATTCACCACATTTGCTGTACACATAAGAGCTAGATGTTGGTCTTGCATACACATAGTGACAACTCAGGAGACCTTTGTGAGTACTGATGGAATTGTCATCAGTGTAACAAAATCTTCGGCCACACAACGCTTTTTTTGTGGTCATGTCAAATCACTTTAGAAACTCACTAGATGTAATCATGATAATTTTTTCATGTAGGTAGGACATGGAGTCAAACCCCCAAATCTGTGGCTTTGCCTGTTTATCAAGTCTCACCTTCCTGCAGTGTCAGAGTGAGTGGTTTCTTCTCAAAATCAGGTGTACTGCATCCTGGTGGAACATCATTCACAAACTGAGTGACAACAACTCCTGGGATAGAGGATTTCTTGAAGATTTTTACTAGAAAATCAAGAAAAAAATTCAATTTACATGTCTGTCCTTCAGAAAGAATCTCTCTCTCAGCATTGCCTCAGCAGAGCAATAACTGCTCCTGCTCAGCTCCTCTTGGACCACAAAGGTCCCATCTATTCCAGTGCCACAGGCTGTAATGTGTCCCAATGCTTGGGGATTAAGGTCTGGGATTTTGTGGTGGCTTTGGCAAAGTTGTGCCAAGTAGGAAATTCTGCAATCAAAGTCCTAATGCAGGACCACCTTGGCTCACAGCGACGGTTTGGACAGGGAGAGCTTTGCATCAGTTCTTGTTCCAAATGCAAAATCTGGCATGAGAAAAGCTCCAGTGCCAAGTCAGAGCCTGGTGGGTCAGTCCCTGCCATCTCCAAGCTAGAGAAGCAAGCAGGGGTTATTCCCAGGGGAATATTCCCCAGAACTTGTCTGTTCTCTCACCTGTCTGATGGCTGCTCATGATGCTTTGCTCAGCTTTCCGGGGTCAGCACAAACAGATTACAAGTTCTCCTTTGAAAAAGACAAATACTTTCATTATTTACAGTTTGCAAGAGGAAGGACAGACCTTAACACTGCTCCCTTTAGTGACACAGTTTGTCCTTCCTCACTTGCCACATCCTTGCAGCCAAGCAGAGGCAGACCTGCCAATCAGCCTGTCATGCCCAACACAACCTGGGCATGAGGATGATTAGCAGGGCTGGATGGAAAATGTACACATCCAGTGGCATCCCTCTGTGTCACCTGGCTTTCCTCTAAAGACCTCCTCTCGTGTTTCAGGCAAACATTCACCACATGGCACTCACGTGGTGGGTTCTGATGGATGGCAAGAGCAGTTGCTGAGAAGAAAACCACAGAGATGGATGTCTAAACTGGGACATGGAGCAGAGGTACATCCTGATCTCATTTAGCTTGGTTAAATTAGCAACAGACCTGAGAGCAGACAAGAAGCCTTTAGAAGGGAATGGTGAAGTGTGAGCTTGGCATTAAGGAGTTATTGTTATGGATCATTCAGGGGACCTTCTGCCAAAGGAGTCTCTTTCCCTGTATTTTAAATTGGACAATGTGTAATGTAACACATCCCTGCCCTGCAGCAAGCTGGGAAAGCAGATTCTCTGTCATGTGAAAGATGCTCAGGAACTATAGAGTTACTGCAGCTCTGAAAGAGCAATTAGATTGGATTGCCTGTGGCATTAGTGCTGCGTCTCTGCTTACGCTCTTCACTCCTTCAGTCAACAGAGGGACACAGGAATATGCACCTTCCATCAATTTTGAAAGGCACAGGGACTTTGGGAGCACACCTACACCAGACATTCATCCAGCTGAGCTCTGTCACCTGGCACCTGATGAAAACATACGGGTGACATCTCCTTGTCACACATTTAACTCCAAGCTGCATTGTCTCAGTGAGAATTGGTTTCAGCTAAGGTAAGAGACAACCTAGTGAGTAAAAATAATTTGTGCTGGATAAACCATGCCCAGGCCAAAGAGAGTGTCACTCACAGTACCTCTGGGTCAGCTTCTGAACCAAAATGTGTTTTGCCATTACTCAGCAGCTGCAAAGAGCCACAGATACCTCCCTACAAAAAAATCACCGTCTCCATTTTGTCCTTACCACAAATCTTGTTTTGGGGCTCTGCACACACTACAAATCTCAGCAATAGTTGACATCCCTGTGAGCCTCCCTGGCCTCAGTGGAAATGCACTGAGACAACAGCACTGGGAAATGGGAGAGGGCTGTGTGAGCACCAGCCAAGCCCTCTCTCCTGTCCCGTCCTGCCTGATCTGGGTGTCCTCTGCTGCTCCCACCACAACAAGGAGTTTGCATTTCATCTGTACCTGCTAGTCTGGCACATCACACAGTTACTTCTGTAAACCCTTGGGAGACATCTTAGAACTTGGGAATGAAGGGAATGAGGAGCTTGTGGGAAGGAAAAGACACAAAACTGAACTGAAAAGAAGCTGATTCCAGGGCACCCTGTCCTGCCCTGGGCAGGGCATTGCACAGTGAATGGCTGAGATTTTTAGAGGCTCTTGATCACCCTCTTATGGATTTAATTTGTCCTCCACAGTACTGAACCGCATTAACAACAAACATAATCCCCTATTGCCTCTTGTATCTTCCTAAACATGTCACCACTCCTGGAGCTGGAATGCCTGATGCTTACAACACTCACCAAACAGGATGACCTGACACCAGCTCCCAGCAGCTTTCCCCTAAGCTCTGTTTATGTTACACTTGCATTTATTCTTTGCTACTCGTGACTCCTTTCCTGCATGCTGGGAGAGGAGCAGCTACTCTGAAACAGCAACATGGTACAAACTCAACTCCAAAGCCTTTCCTCACATCTCCAAATGTTTTATGTCAGAATGTTTCATTCTCAGCCTGGTGTGACAGTGGACATGTGTTACCATAACAGAAACTGCTAAGAGAGGGCTAAATTCAAATCTAGTTTGGTAAAACCCCCAAATACTATCAATGTTTGCACAGGCAGTAACAGGCCCCATCTCTAAGTGGGCAACATGCACAATGTGCAGTATGTATAAACTGCTGAGTTTACGGAGTCTTAAAGATTTAAGAGATTCACTTGGATTAAAAATAAGCTCCTGTGAGTCCTTAAACTCGTGCGAATTCCTGACTTCTTGAGAATGAGAAGGAAGCATGTTAATGCCACACATTGATTGCAGGGTTAAAATAACAGTGCTGGATATGAAGGGAACATTCCTTCAGTGTAATGAATCCAACCACGTTGCATTTTCCAGTATCTTGGGTATTAAATAAGGACCAGAAAATAACACCCTGGTTGGCACAGAGTCACTAAAACCTACCCCTGCTTACTTTTATAAGTTTTACTCCCTTGTTACATGAATGATCATGGCTTTGTTCTGACTCCAGTTCAATCTAGAAAAAGAAATCACAGAATTTTTTAAATGAGACAGCAAAAGCCTTCCAAAAATTGCCATAGCGTAATTCATATCTTGACTCGCAGGTGCTTGAAACATTGGTGTCCAAACAAGGATGATTTATTCAATGGAATAAATGCTTCCAAGAGGGAGTCACCCCTCCCCAGGTGAATGTTGCTAACACCCCCAGCACAACAGAGTGACACTGGAAGCAGCTCAACACTCTCGCTCCTCTGTAAAACACATCCCTGTCATGCATTAGCCTTGTTCAGGTATCCAGTTGGCCATTCCTCATTCCAGGCAGATGTCTGTCTGCTTTGCAGCTGCAGGGACATCCCCACTGGAGACAGAGGCTTTGAGTGCAGAGCTGGAGCAAGCCCTTGGCTACTGACAACATTTTTAATGTCCCAAAATAAAGCAAGAAGCCTGGCAGCGTGGGAGGGTGCCCTTCATTCTGTGTGTTCATCAATCTGTCTGGATGAGACAGAGCAAGAGACCATTCCCTGTGACCCTGACTGGACAGCAGTACTGGGGCCATAAATCAGCTGAGTGAATAAGCAAAACATTTGGGAGTCAGAGGATTTGTAAGTATTGGGGGTGTCACAGGGAGTTATTTACAGGCTTCAGACAGTGCAGTACACAGACAAGATGTGACATAATTGCTGGCAGACTGGTGAGCAAAATTAGCCAAACCTGTAGGGAAGTGGCACGCAGTGAGTGGTTCATGGGGAGGGGATGGCTGCAGAGGCTCGGGATGTGCCATGGGCATTGCACAAGCACAGATACAGTGGGGACAAAGCCATTAGCACAGACTTAAACCACTGATGGTAAAGTAATCAGCAACAGAGGCAGCATTTCTTTCACAGGGGCATGTATCAAGGAATCTGCTGAGCTGGAAGGGACTCACAGGGACCATCCAACCCTGCACAGACACCCCAACAATCCCACCCTGGGCATCCCTGGCAGCGCTGTTCAAACTCTCCTGGAGCTCTGGCAGCCTCGGGGCAGTGCCCATTCCCTGGGGAGCCTGGGCAGTGCCCAGCACCCTCTGGTGGAAGAACCTTTCCCTGAAATCCAGCCTAACATCCCCTGACAAAGCTTTTCTCTTTGTAATTCTCTTTGAATTTCTCTTTGTAAATAATGAAAATCTGGGTGGTCCTGACACAGAAAATGTTCTAAACAGAATACCAATTTGTTGTGAGCTCAGTCAAATTCTGGCTGTGCTTTACCCCAGAGATCCAGATACCCAGTGAGTATATTTCAACTAGAAGTTCTCTTTTAGCTTTGGGTTGGCTTTCTGTGGTTTTTTGTTAACTTGAAGTAAACTTTTGAGCTTGAGTCTTCCCATTTCAGATGAATTTTCAAGGAAAATTTCAAATTATTTGGTTAGAACCACAGAACTGAAGCCAATAAACTGCAGAAGGGAAACTTCATTAAAACTTCTGAGCAGGTCACAGAGCGGGAATGTCACAAGCTCTCCAGTGATGAATGGAGGTCTTGTGCAGAGTGGGGAGGAATGCCCAAGGATCAGATTTTGTGTGACTTATCCCTTTGGTAAATCTATACCTGACCTGATCTTCTCCTCTGCCCCAGGGATTATGAACACGACCTAAGTGCTTGCTCAGGATCCACAGAAACACAAACTAGATACCCTGCACCCATTTATGTATGAAAGTGGCACTGATACCAAAGGCCAAGAGGAGGCACACACCATCCCTATTTTCTAAGAGAGCAAAAGCCATTAAGCCCCAGCAGTGAGCAGGAGAGTGAATCCATGTTCCTCTGGAGCAGCAGGGATGGGATGGCAGCAAGAGAACTGGTCAGTCTGTGCCTTTCCGTGGTCACAACACTCCCATTGATTTTTCATAACAGAAACAGACTTTGATACAGGCAATGGATTTACAGCAAGTATCACAGAGCAAACACAACAGTGTCTCACTGCCAGGAAGGAAAGATAACATATCCCTACTCACTGTCCAGGATGAAAACCCATAGGAAACCCCCAGGGTACCTGTGCCACAAGTCCCCTGCCAGCTCCACGAGACAATGACAGCAGATCTTCAACAGCCTGGCATCTTCCCAGGGAAATCCAGGGAAATCAGTGTACCCTACAGGAGCCAAATACTACAAGACCCTGCTACTCCCAGAATGTTTACAACCATTTCCAGACCTACTGCAACACAAACCCACATTCAGTGTCACAACAAAGGTGTCACTTCCCAGTCCCAGCTCTGCATCACCCCCACACAAATCAGTGGTGACATGGCAAAACTCACCACTCTACAGGCTGAGCTTCTCACAGGATGCTCTGGAAGTCACTTCTGTGTCTCCAGGCCCACAGTGCCTTTGTTCACTCAGAGCACAGAACTCTTCATAGCTGCCCAGTGGGTCCCCTGGTCCCAGATATCAGTGACCTGTGGGAAGGAAGATAAGCCCCTTATCCATCTGGTGTAAATGTCACTAAATGACAAAAGAAACAGCAAACTGTTGTCCCCCTCACAACTCTCCAGTCTTGCAGAAGGTGAAGCTGTGCCCAGGAGCTGTTGGGTGTCTCCACTCTGAGCTGGAGCAGCCCTGGGGGCTCATTATAGCCCCACACTCCCCCAGCCCAGAGGAGGTGCCCTGGAGCCCTTGGCAAGGCTGGCCACGGGCAGGGCCAGCCTGGCCAGATGCGACCATCAGTCAAGGCCACGCTGCATCTCCAATGCAAGACCTTGGGCCCCAAAGAAGGACAAACACTTGTGCAGATCCAAGGAAAGGACAGGCTGTACACCACGTTGTGTAGGCCACACCAGCAAATGGGTATGTCCTACTCAGAAGCCATGAGTCCTTATGACATACCACAATTCCTTAGCAGAGAAGTAAAACCAGTGAATTATTGCATTTGTGGTGGGTCAACCGTGCCTGGGCTTGGCCCTCAGCAGAAGAGTCCCTCAGTCTGTGCTATTCCAAGAGGCCTGAAAGAAATCCAGTTGCTTTAGAATACCTCCACTGCTACAGTCGAAAGACACACCTCAGTTTGCTCCTTTCCTTCCAATACAGACACAGGCTGATCCCTTTCCCGTGAGCAGAAAACAAGGCCACTTATTCCACCAGTGGAAGGTTCCCTGCCCATGGCAGGGAGCTTGAATTAGATGGTTTTAAAGTTCTCTTCCAATCCAAAGCACTCTGGGATCTCTCATTTCCATGGACAGGTACCCAGATGTACAAGTTCAGTACATTGTGACCTCAAATCTTTTGCTTCTTGTCTGCCCTTGAAGACCTTGTAAACCTTCCTTCCTCTGCTCAGAAAGCTCCCCTAAAGCAGAGGGGCCTTTGCTTGGTCCCTGATGCTCACAGAGATGGCCAGTGTGCGACTGCAAGTTCCCTTCTTCCAGAAGCTCTACCTGCAGGCAAACAAAACCTGACTGGCCTGAAGGCTGCTTTCACTCACTTCAGCCTGAGAGCCCACAGTCGTTGCTTTCCTTTGCATTGGGTGAACAAATTCATACTAAATCTCATGCTCAATTGGAGAGGAACGGCTGGCTCCAGAAGGTAGCAAGAGAAGTGTTTTTACTGTGATTGCCATGGTTCACAGGCTGTCTGTGCTGGCAGAACCAGAAGAAGGCCTTCCTATGAGAAGATGACAATTTTAAAATCTGAGGCTAATGGGAAAGGAACACACAGGTGCCACAGCTGGTGCCACAGCTTAGACTCCTGTTAGATTGCATCAAGACTGAAGAACCACAAAGAGCACCATTTCCACTAGCCTGAGAAAGAAGATTCTCACCCAGGTATCAAAAATTTCTCCCTTGCAGGGCTGGGAATCACCATTTCAACCAACAATTTAAAAGATAAATGTGAAAATTAAATTCTGGAGTAATTTTCTTTATTCCTTCTTTCTTTTCGACCATTATTGCGGGTGACAGTGTTTAAAGCTTCCCAGTTCATGAGAAAAGCATGCCAACAGAGGAAAATGGAATTGCTCAAACTGATGCCTGGGCTAAGATCCTTCCTGTTACCTTTGCAGTGATATAAAAGTAGAAGCAGTTACAAGGTGAAATATAAACCATTTGAAAGTTGACAAGCCAAGAAAATAAGACAACAAGGATCTGGGAAAACTGGACTGCTACTGGAAAATCCTCTCAGTAGCAGCCACTGTTTTCTAGCAATGTGGGACTCCCACAGCATTTTCACCTGCTTTGGACAATGATCATCCCAAAGATGCTCCCTCAGACATCAGTCCTGCTGGTTCAGGACAGCAGTTTGTGGCTTTGCTGACTGGATGCTGCACCTTTACTAAACCCCATTGCCAGACAAGTCTCAGAGAGAGCAGCACTTTGGGTAAGGCCTAGGAATGTTCCTACAGGAATCATTTACCTGCCTCCACTGAAACCTGAATTCAGCTCTCCTCAGCTGCAGCAGAAGCAGAGTTATCCCAGAGGCCTGAGCTATCCAGGGCCACGGGGATTTCTGCTGTTCCTCTTCGCATGTGCTCTCCCTTTCCAGGCATTTGCTCCCCACAGAACAGTGCCAGTGGTATTGAGTCTCCAACCACATTTAGCTGTTGGGTCTCAACTGAGGAATTCCTAATTAGACAGACAGTGGGGTCTAACAGGTCTAACAAGTCCCAGGAGATCCACAACTGCTCCTGTTCCACTGATCCCACAAACCTGATCGTGCTTTGCCTCATTTCCAGCCCTGGTTTTACAGTTTTCGTGGGGCCTCTCCTCCAGGGGGACTGCTAATTTAAAACCATCTGCAACAGAGCAACCTCCTCCAAGAGCTTGACCTTCTTCCATTTCAGCTTGTTTTCCACCCGCCCACCCAAGGCCCTGTTAACCCCTGTGTGCCAGGGCTGAGCCACCAAGTGCCACTGGGTGCCTGCAGAATGTCACGGCGAGGCCGGGACGCTCAGTGGGCACTGCTTTCCCTGCAGAGGGAACAGGTTTTTCCCTGAAAGTGAGGCCATTCCCCTAAGGAAGGGCAGTGAAGAAATGTCCAGAGGCAACAGCTGAAGGACAGTTATTTCAGATTGAATTTAAAACTGTTATTTAACTGGAAACAAGACTCTTCCAACATTCTGTTTTCCCTGTAATTCCCTTCTTGGAATATTTGTGTCAAGTCTTCCTGCTCTGACCAGTGACAACTGGCACAGCTCTTCCTACAGACTTTGGCACCCACATGGCTCAGAAAGGGCAGGAACTCAAGAAACCAAGACCTGGTAGGTCCAAAACCCTGTCTGGATTTTCAGTTCATAAAGAAATTACCAAGATCAAAAATCAGGCCAAGACACTCCATTTCCCTGCAGCCTGGTGAACAGTCCTGACTGCTCTAAGAGTGGAAGTGGTGGCAGGGAGGCTTCTTTGGGGCAGAAATATTCACATATGAAATGGGTGAAGATGTGCAAAGCTCAGTGGTTGTGTTCCAAGTCCATCTTGACATAACAGCAATGAGAATCCCATAAAAACTATACAAGAAAATGGGCATGGAATATGGAATAAAGGCCCACAGTCAGTGAAGATTACAGGTACCCGCAGCTCTCCAACCACCCATCACACTACAGCAAATCAGGTGAGTCTGGCAGTGCTGGTCATGCTGGGCATGTGTGAGCACAGGGACATTGTGCGTTCAGATCAGACCAGGGGCCATCTGGGTGACAGGAGAGCATTTTGGTTTTCCCAGGAGCATATCCTGCAGCAGGATGAGGAACAGTCACACCACGCATGTGAGTGCCCCAGTGGGTCTTCCATACCCACAACATTTGAATTTAAGTAAATGTGATGTTCCAGTTACTGGGTATTTGCTGCTCTTTTCAGTGGGAGTTGCGCATTCCCATTCCAGTCCCTCAACACCAGTTCTACACGTTGTAGAGTCCAGAAGAAATTGAAGGGACTTGTTTCAAGCTTGAACCTGTGGTGATTTTCCCTCCCCACCTGAGGTGCCAGTATGTCCCTCTGTCACCTGCAAGCCAAGGGCTGCTGTCACTGGGCACACAGAGCCAGGTCAGGCCCACTGCAGTCCACTGAACCTTCACACAACATAAGGAGATCAGAACCAAGGGAATGAATGCAAGAGGCACCAGTGCTCTGCTTTCACAGTGCAGATCAGCTCCCTCATTCCCACACTACAGAGAATTCCTTCTGTTCTCTTGCTCAGTTCTCTTCTCACTGGTTCAGTGTTTGCATCCATGACTGACTGAAGGTGTTTGCTAGCAGTCTAGGATTTAGTTGGAGCCTGGCTGCCTATTAACCCAACATTCCCACTTTTCCCAGTAACAGCTGCTCCCATGACTATCTTCCTTGCATGTTCCAGTCCTGGGGCTGGGATTTACTTACCATTTTCATCCACAAAACAAAATAGTGGGCAGCAGACATTTAATAAAGACTCTCCAAAGATGTGATTAAACATCAACTTATTACCAGACAAATCCCTCCACCTGGACTTTCCACCCCCCTTGAGACACAGAAGAGAACAAGGGTTTAAGCCCCTCTGGGCTTTAAGGAATGCAGAGAACAAGGGGTGCCTGTACAACTTGCATCAGACCTTACACGGCCCTTGGGTTTTGCTAAATGTACCTCTCAGGCAGTCAGAGGGTTAACAAAGCTCACTGCATGCAGCATATTAAACAATAAAATGCAACCAGGGATTGAAGGCTTTATCTCTGTCCCCCTCTCTGCCTCAAACCAGAGGCACAGCAGACTCCCCAGCTCTGAGTTCTTTATGTTACAGGATTTATTGTGCCCCAGCCTGCAAGTGGCAACAGATGAAACAAGTCCCATCCTGGCCTGACCAGCTGTTTTAATGTTTCATTCCCTGATGTACTGGGAAGTTTCACACTGAAATAAATGGTAAGAAATTCTCTCTGGAACCTCAAGAGGCCACAGCATGTAGTAGCTTCCTGTTGTCTATGTGGGACACCAGAATTAATCTCAACACTGTCCTGTCAGTGCCTGACCTGTGCTGGCACCAGTGAATATCTGGCACCTACAGAGGTGCCAGGGGACTCACATTTCTGGAAAAGCTGCCCCATTCCTTCTGAAGTTTGCTCACTGTCACACTCTCTCTTTATCCAGCACTAAAATATCAGAATAAAATAAGTGTCATCTTAAGCCAGAAAATTGTAAGATCATATTTACAAGAAAATAGACAGGTATTAAATGAACCAGCCTAACCTTCTAGAACTAAAAAATGAAGTCATCTTTATAGATAAAAAGCTAATATTACAAAAAGAAAGAAAAAACAAAAAAAATTACTAACAGACATAAGGGTGTCAACCTGAGTATAATAACACAACATTTACCAATTAGTTTAAGAAAGAGATGTGTGCTTACCTCGTAAACAAAGTCAAACTACTGATCAAAAGCTGCATAGACAAAACAGAACTACCAATTAAACAATATGTGACTGTACAAACCAAGATAAGAAGTAAATATAAACAATATTTAGAAGCACAATAAACAACTTTTACTTAATTCACATTGAATCATACCAAGTCCTTTGTCTTCTCTCCTCAGAAAATTATGCCAGCATCCAATGGACCAATAATCAAAATCACAGAATTATAAAATCATAGAATTGTTTGGGTTGGAAGGGACCTTAAAGCTCAGCTCGTTCCACTCCCCACCAAGGGAAGAACATCAGGTTGCTTAGAGCCCCCCTCCAGAAAACGGAAATATAGGGAAAAAACCCCCAGAAATACAGAAAAAACATGGAAACGGAGAAAAAGAGAAAGAGAGGGCATCTCTCTCCTTTCATCCCCACTTGTTCTATGAAGCCTGTGATTTCACAGAAGGGTCACTGAGCTCCCCTTTCTGCAGGAATGAACCTCCCAGGGTGTGTACCTCTATGTGCAGGGTCTGTCCCCCCGCAGGGTCGGTCCCTATGCAGGGTCTGTCCCCCCGCGGGGTCTATCCCCGAGCAGGGTCTGTCCCCCCGCAGAGTCTGTCCCTGTGCGGGGTCTGTCCCTGAGCAGGGTCTGTCCCCCCGCAGGGTCTGTCCCCCCGCAGGGTCTGTCCCCCCGCAGGGTCTGTCCCCCCGCAGGGTCTGTCCCCCCGCAGGGTCTGTCCCCCCGCAGGGTCTGTCCCCCCGCAGGGTCTGTCCCCCCGCAGGGTCTGTCCCCCCGCAGGGTCTGTCCCCCCGCAGGGTCTGTCCCCCCGCAGGGTCTGTCCCCCCGCAGGGTCTGTCCCCCCGCAGGGTCTGTCCCCCCGCAGGGTCTGTCCCCCCGCAGGGTCTGTCCCCCCGCAGGGTCTGTCCCCCCGCAGGGTCTGTCCCCCCGCAGGGTCTGTCCCCCCGCAGGGTGTCACCCACCTCCTCTGCCCTGTGAAGGTGATCACACGGAGCTCAAACGCAGCACAGCTGGCAGCAAATACGTCTCCGGTTCCGGAGCAGGTGCCCAGCACTCACCTGCGGTTCTCAGCCCGGGTGTCCCCTCTAGCCGAGTGCTGTCCCCTCTAGCCGAGGGCTGTCCCCTGTAGCCGAGGGCTGTGGCAGCCGCAGCGGCAGCCGGGGCCGGGCCGGGCTCAGCGCGGGTCGCTCCGGGCCGGGCCGGGCTGGAGCCCCCTCAGCCGCCCCGGCGGTGCCGCCTCCTCCCGCCGCTGTCCCGGCGCGGTGTCGCCGCGGGCGGGGCCGCCTGTCACAGGGCTGTTAGCTTCCGAGACATCCAGAGGATTGGGATTTTTATGGGCACCCGGGCACCTGCCTCCTATTCGTTATTATTTCAGTCCATTCCAGTAATGGTGCTGAGCAAATTTGAGATGAACATAATTCTTCAGCATTTCACAAGTCAGTGGGATGGTGCTTTGTCTGTGGATTGTGTTTCTTCTTCGCAGCAACTTGTTACAAACTTTGACACAACTGAAGGGCTCTCAGTGTTTTAAAGGGAACTGGAGTTCAGCTGGTTTGAATCCCATTCCAGGAATAAGTAGGGTCCCTAACAGAACAGATAAACTGAATTTCAGATAAAAGTGAGTGGCCAAGCATGGTTAAAGATGAGGCTTCTTCACATACAGTCTTTTTTAAAAATAACTCCTTGAAAAGTCAGATTTATAAGCGATGGACAGACCCCTTCAGAGCAGCAGTTCACAGTGTTAATATGAATTTATGTCACAGTGTTAATATGAATTTGTAGTGTACACTGAGCAGTCTGAGTCTGCACTCCTGTTACACAGCCAAGAGCAGCTGCTGTTACCTACAGTCCTTCTTGCACCTTTGGAGAAAAACAGCTTTAACAGGAAATTAGGAATAAAAAGGTCAGGGTGGAAATGGAGATCAGAGACCTCAGCAAACTTGTAGTGGTAATAATTCTCTGCTGTGAGAATTCATCCAGAGTCACCTGGAGTGATGGAGATAAGTCTTGAGAAAAACAGGACAGAGGCTCAAAGTAAAAGACCCCAGGCAGGGAATGAAGTGGTTATAGGCACAGTTTCCTCAGCTTGCAGAGGGCAGTGGGCACCCAAGGGTCACCCAAAGGGCTGCTGGTTGCAGATATTCCAGGTGTTTCCCTGCCCCCATTGCCCATCTCAGGGACAGGCACACACTGGGGGAATGCCAGTCACAGTCATTTCAGAGGCCAATACTTCCAGGTAGACATGAACACATCAGTACTTCTAAAAAGTGGATTAGGATAAAGTTCAGCTTTCCCTGTCTTGTCCTCTTCAAGGAAGCCAATGTGCCTGTGGGAGAGGCTGTACCTGGAGCTCTTCCAGCCTGGAAAGTGGGCAAGCCCCTGTCCTATGAGACCTGCCTGGTCTCATAGGAAATGATGCAAACATCATTTCCAAAGGTTTTGCTTCCATCCAGTGAAAGCAATCCCCCCCAGCAGGCAATGGGCCTGTTGTGCCCTGGATGTAACTGCACCTCAGGTGCCTTCAAAAGCACTCATTGTACAAAGGAACAGTCAAGGCAGGAAGATGAACCAGGAGGACAGAAGCTTTGCCTATACTTTAGTGTACTTTCCAAATGGGAATATTATTCCCTAATTTTTACTTTAGATTAACAAGATTTTGGAGTTCAGATTCTCAGTCCCTTGATACCACAGAAGCCAGGTGAAATCTGCTCAGGGTTTCCTACCTTGCCCCTCCATAGCTAAACATTTTTCCTGTGGAGGAGAGATCTGGGTCACAAATTGATGAGCTTGTACTGGAAAAGATTTAAGCCAGAAAGTGCAAGTGACATATCCCAAAGGATCACATTTACACACCTTTATGCACCTTTACAGTCAGCAAAACACAGAAGATTCCATTTAATGCAGTAGAAGAGAAAAAACATCTGCTTCAAAAAACAGAGAAGTACTGACAACTCAGGAGATGCCAAAATCATTCTGATAGACTTGAAAATATGTCTCAGTTATGAGACCTTAGCAGCCCAAAGGGCAGCCTTATGTAATGTGCTTTACTTAGCAATCCTCTGACATGGGCATTCCCAATAAAACAGTGCAAGGATTTGTAAGCCTGAGTATTCCCTTGCCTCTGACAGCCTCATAAAGATTATTTCCTTTCAGACATGTGAGAGTCTCCACTGGAAACCCACTAAACACTGCATCTGAGCTGACCTGAGCATTCAAATTCTAATTTCATCCCAAATCAGCAGATGGTTATTAGTTGTCTCAAAATGGCATTTGTCAGGAATGAAAATTCTTTGCCAAAATAAGCCATTCAGTGTTATTTATGATGCAGACAGATTCTGTTACTCCCTCATAGGGTTTTATGCTCAAACACTGTTGACTCAGCCAGCCCTGGCCCTCTCCCCTTTTATGTTTGAATGCAGCCATTAAATTGTCTTTTAGAAGTTGCACTGAGGGCACAAACCCCCCTCACTTCTCCATTAAATGAGGACAAAACACAGAAATGACCCACAAGTGCATGAACATTGAGAACTCTGAGCGTTTACTGTGACAGACTAAACACAAAGTTCCTCTGTGTTCTTCTCAAGCTTCATGCTCAATGTGGAGTCTCAAAGAAGCAGCCATGGACACCAGAGGCAGTTGTACCCATTGTCACAATTGTCACATCCCAGACAGCCTTCTGACCCCAGCACACTGTGTTGACAGGAGAGTCCCACACAGACACCACAGCATTGTTTGAGATCCAAGCACAAGCTCCACACCACCCCAGGATGCAGCTGGCAGCAGAGCACCTCTCTGAGGGGACAAAGATCTCTTTTTTTTTACATTTGCCATCCCTCAAGCAGCCATCCAGTGTGACATAGTGTGTCACAGTCCCTTCAGACACCTGAGCTTGTACAATTCACTGTCCCTTTAAAGGTCACACTCCTGCAGGGAGCACTGGAAGTCTGGGCTGTGGAGAGGCTGATCCAGTGGAGAGCCAGCCCAGCAGCTGAGTGACCTGTCCATAGCCAAGAGCTCAGCACACCCCTGGATACCAAGTGAAAGATACTGAAATACAGAAACTCTACCAGGGAAAGTGCAGGGGATCCATCCCCTCCATTACCCTCTCCCAGGGAGGAAAGCCAAACTCCCCTCCCCGCTGTTCTACAGCCTTGGACAAAAGGGCTGGGAGACCTGTGAGGCAGAGAAGTTCCTGTGAGAGCAGGGTGTTGGGGAGCTGTTCCCTGGTGGAAGGGGCAGCCCCAGCAGAGGCAGGACAGGAACCTTACTGACCAGGCAAACTCAACCCCGCGCCTGAAGTGGGTGAGCAGAGAGGGAACAGTGACAGGGTCCATCAACTGTCCCCATCAATGGTCCTGTGATCATCAAAGGCCAGGAAAGAAGTCAGGTCCAAGGTCAGCCTGAGAAGGCCAAACAACAGTTCAGGAAAACCTGAAAACCAGTGCAACTGCAGCAAAGCACAGGAAGTGGGTGAAAGGCCTAAGTTTAAGCAGAGCCCCTTGGCCCTGGGCAGAGGTATAGGAAGGGACCCCAAGTGAGGTTGCTCAGGGTAATTAGGCCCTAATTAATGCCTTCATAGCCCTGTTCCTGGATTCCAGGAGAACATTTCTGTGACACATCAGCTCACCCAAGTCTTGCACAACTGGGGCTTTCAGCAGCACACTTCAAACTCATCTTCCTGCCCTCCCACTCTCCATAAACTCTCCTGCCCCTGGGGTGGATCTGCTCTCCTGCTGGTTTCCAGGCCTGGATAGTCTCTCTATCCCCTCTGCCAGTCTGTGCCCTCAGGAACACTGGTGTGCCCATGTGCCCTCCCTGTCCATGGCTGCAGGGAAGGGCAGGAGCAGAGCCCTGGGAGGAGGCAGGGAGCAGGCAGGGAAGGCACCCAGCAATGGACAGACAGTCAAGCAAACAGGGATTTACCTCTGTCTTCTATCACTCCCCATCATGTGACAGGAAAAACTGTACCATTTAATGAATGTGCCACTCCCTAGTTTGGAGCTGAAGAGGAAAGTCCTTTCTTGTTGGGAGTTTCTGTTGTTCTGATAAATCCAGACTGAGATGTTACTCCCTTCTATGCTCTCTCAGTGTCTAGAAAGAATCTATGAGATCCCACTGTCTTGACTTTCAAAACCATTGCAAGACTTTTCCCAAGGAATTTAATTTGATTCCTGTGCATATGCAGTGAATTGATCAATGCTCTCCAGCACAAAAGTTTTCATCCAGGTTCATCCCTGCAGGTGCAGCTTCCACCCTGCTTTCACACTAACGCTGACTTTCTAAAGTGTCACAGGAAGCAATCCTTCTGTTTAGGACCAAAGTTGCAGCAAGGAAGGTCTCAAAAGTCTCTGCCAAAGTAGTTCTTTTCTAGGGCTGTGCTGTGAGGCTGAACCAGCTGAGAACCCAGCCACGGAAGTCTCCTGCCAGTTATTTCTCTGCCTCAGGGATGAGCCAAGCCCAGAAATGGAGATGCCCAGGAAGATCATGGTCAGATGGCCATGTGGCCTGGCCCAGGCAGTGGGAGAAAATGAAGCCACTTCAAGGCTCCTGAAGACGCACAACTTCATTTTTCAAGTCACCTCAGTTTGAAGCATCCAGACCTAAGAGGTACCGAGTACCTGGAGCCTTCCCTAACATCACTGGGTTCATCTGGATGCACATCTCTTGGTGCCTGCATGCTGGGGAAACCACTGGAATACATCTTGGTGCTAAGGGATGCCTGTATTTGATCCTGAGTGAATGAAAACATTCTGTGTTAAAATAAATCACTTTCCCCTCCTTTAATGTCTCACACTGATCTTTGTCACCTCTTTGCAACATTATTTCCTTCAACACAGCTGAGTTTGCAACTGCCTGGGAAAAGCAGATCCTCTGAGAAGAACAGGCTGATGATCTCGTGTCTGCAGCCCAGTTTACAAACTGTCTTTGGCAGTTTCCAGGAGCTGGTTTTCCTGGATTGCTTTGGTGGCCCACAGTCACACACACTCTGTGTTTTCCACCCCCAGGCACGTCCTGCTGTTCCCAGACAGACAGACAGGCAGGCTCTGGGCTGGGGAGGGACAAGTGGGCAGGTCACTTTTCAGGTAGATGGATAGATGAGGAATGGATGGGTGGATGGATGGATCATGGAAAGGAGCAGGATAATGTCAGGGGTGCTGATCCATCCTGGTCAGACTGGGAGAAGAGAGGAAAGGAGGAGTGGGTGTCAGAGAGGGATCGTGTGTCAGAACTGTGATGGATGAGGGAGATCTGTGTTCTGGGAAGGGTGGCTGGGGCAGACAATGCCAGTGCC